CGATCTGCTCGTCCTGTTAAGTCGGCCTCAGTCAATCATTTACGACGACTGACATTATCACAACCGTTTAGGGCCGACCATGAGGGGAACTGCCACAGTTAATGACCGAATAATGTGGAGGCCGCGGCCCATTCTTCGTGGTTATCTTGCTGTCCCGGCCTCGATGGGAATATACGAATGTGGGAAGAAAACTGTACCGGAGGAAGCTCTCTAAGTGCATCTCACGCAGCTTTTCCCATGGAATATCCGACCTATCGTCCCATTTGTCAAGATTGTGGATGGTTAGGTAGGTTCCACTGACAACCTGGTGATGGCTTCCCGACAAAAAAGCTTGTCCAAGCCGAGACCTTGAACACTGGGATGTTAAATTATCCGCGTTGTAGAGCAGGGCAAACCATTGCTTCCTCCTCTGCCCTGGCCTTGAGATCCGAGCGCGATATCACAGCAGGAACTTGCCTGCTCATTCCTCCTAGCTCAAGGATAGCCAAAAAATATATCCTCGTCCGAGACGATGGAAGGGTTCCGAACTTGCATAACTTACTCCCCGCAATTCCGCGAAAAATTTGGGATCGAGAAAACAAGCTCTTCTTCCGATGTCTCATTCAATTCCTTGTTTCACAACCACTACAGGATAAAAGTACTGGCGAGCTTTATGAGACAGACACGTACGTACATGTAATGTACATGCATACATTTATATTGGCAGAACCCCTCAGATGAGGGTGATGCAAGGACGGCTACCCCGCATCGATGACGCTCAGCGTCGTCGTCTATCAATGGACAATACCACAGATTCAAATAGGTGTGTTAAATGCGGTTCCTACTCATAGTGAAAATAAACCTAGCGTTCTCTTCATTGTATTGTTGACCGACGAGAAAATAATCTTGTGAGGTCTGTCACAGATGTCTCAAGGATTAATACGTAAACAAATAGCCAAAATGATAAGGTAGAAAACGTTCGTTCGCTATTTGACTAGGGGAGGCAATGTTGAAACATCCCTCTCGTGAACAATACCTCGCCCCCTTCTAAACGGAGGAAGGGTGTTGTTCCCTATGGGGAACCAGTAATCAACAGGCACACCTCCTGTTCAAATAAGGTTGCGCACCAGATGCAACTTTCTGCACTCTGGCTTAGAGGGCTTCTTCGGTCGCGTGCGGAATGATACGAATAAGTAATTAAGTAGATAGGAAGCTCTGTAACTACCTTTCGTTAGCACATCCTTCACACGAGCACCCCTCTATCCCACAGCCTCAGTGACTGAGTCCAAAGTAGTGAACGAACATGAGGATGAGAAGGCGGTGCATTTCGCTGGCAAAGCCTGGATAATCCGGCCGCTGGATTGCTTAATATGGAAATTGACAGAGTCCTGTGTGCAGTGTATATGATCCACTCCGCTCGCACGAAGAATGATAAATATTATGTTGGGAACAAACGGGAAGATAACAGAAATTACGACATCAGTGGGGCAATACATATTTGCGCCTGCCAATACGTTATTTTTGGGCTGGCTTTGCTAAAGAAACCAAGCGGCTCGTTGAATTGCAATGCATCCATCCATGTTTAAATATAATAGCCTGTCCCGGATTCAAGGGCAGCCGGTCCTGATGGATATCAAATTTCGGATTATTTCGTGTGCCTCCTTCATTTTCGAGAGTCCAGCAAATCCCCTTAATAAATAATCAGCTCTTCCACCCGAAGCCATGCGACTCTTAGCAGCGGTCACGGCAGTGTGCCTCGCAGGCATAAGCATAGCAGCCGCGACCCCGAAGGCCGAAGACATAGTCAAGACGGTCAAGATTATGCCGCTGGGAGATTCGATAACTGGGTCTCCGGTAGGCATGGCATCCTCAACTCCCTCGGATGTCTATCGCATTTGTATTCACAGGCGATATGGACCATGGGAGTCTGTCTTGAGTTGAGTTGAGTCCGCTAATTGCTCTCGATGAATTTAGGGTTGTTGGCGCGCTCTGCTATGGAAAAAGCTCCAGATGCTAATATTACCAAAACGGATTTCGTGGGGTCAACCGGGACATGATTGCGGATTCGACTATGATAGTGAAAAAGAGGGTCATTCTGGTTTTAAGGCGACGTAGATTGCCACTAAAAAGCAGCTTCCTCCGTGGCTTAAGAAAGCGCAGCCGGACATTGTCATGATGCATCTTGGGACGAATGACATGTGGAGGAAGGGCAGTCCGAAGAATACTATAAAAGCATTCTCTACTCTGGTGTAGCAGATGAAGAAAAATAACCCAACTATGGCTATACTTGTAAGTTACTCTCCTCTCAGGCGATTGACGCGCAGGTCCAAAAACCCCGATGTCCAATCGCATGGGCCGCACGCAATTTTCTCTTGTATATCTCTAACTCCACTCCCCAAAGGTTGCGCAAATAATCCCCATGGATCCCCGTGACCGCAAAGGCTGCAGCAAAGCTGCCAGACAGCTCAACCGAGCCATTGAGAGATGGGCGCCAACGAAATCGACAGAGAAAAGTCCGGTCATGTTGCGGACTGCTTCACGGGCTTTGACGCAGGAAAGACACCAGAGACGGCGTCTATCCAAATAAGTCTGGAGACAAAAAGCTTGCGAATTGCTGGTTCGAACCGTTATCGGCCGCTATTAAACAAGTTAATGGCAGGGAGGAGGAATCGACCTGCAAATATTGAACTTGGAAAGTGGATCTCAAGAATATTCGAGCGTCCGGGTGCATATTTTGAGTCATTAGATATTTCTGTTAAATCATTTGGCGCCTGCACAGTGGGACGGACGGTGGTCTTTGTTTATATGCTGGGCCTCATCGATGCGGGCTCTTGGGTAAAATTGGCTGGAACCAATTTTGGTTCAAATTGGATAATACATTTGGTAAAATATGCAATGTCCTGTAAACATGGAATAAAGTACCATTTTCGAGCTGGATGAAATGTATCTAAGCCTGCGCTCCTGAATATTGGAAGTTGATATCCTTGTTTCCCCTGAAAAGCTTTGTTACAAATATCACATGACTTCCAAGTTCTCCTGGATATCACGTGTCACGCGTTTCGGAGCTATTCCGATATAGAAATAAACCAAACAACCACAATCCTCAGTAAACATCATATTCCGCTCCCTACAAGCAAGATTACCTCTACGTAATCACTACTACCATCCCACAACTCAAAATGCGCGGCCTATCCACCTTCCGTCCACTCTTCCGCGCCCCGGCCACCTCGCTCCCTACGCGCAACTTCAGCACCACCCGCCCCAATGCGCTCGCACGTATCAACATTGTCGGTAACCTCGGAAGCCCGCCAGAGTTGCGCGCCACTTCGTCAGGCCGCGAGCTAGTGACCTACTCTATAGCAACCAGTTACGGACCCAAGGAGGATCGCCAGACAAGCTGGTGGCGTATCACAAGCTTCGCGCCCGATGGGCCCAGCAGAGATCATTTACTCAACCTGCCAAAGGGGTATGTTTTCGTCGTTTTACATTCACGTGTGCATATATAGAGAACCTGGTCTTCTCGAGGCAGTGACACCTGTTCGAACTGGTTCTATCCGTTCCTCCACTCAATGTTCGATGGCTAACTAAATCTCATTACCTGTTACAGCACCCTCCTATACGTAGAAGGCGACGCCAGCATGCGCTCATACGAGGACGCAGAAGGGAAGAAGAATTCTGCCCTCAATATCACCCAACGTCCGTTCCCTCCTTCACCGACCTGTGTCCTCTCTATTCCTTATATCCTACCCCTTTATTTCTCTCCCATTCTCCGTTGCACCTCTTACATACGACATGACTGACCAAAAGCTCTTTTGGAGTCTCACAGGACACTACGAGGTTCTTAAGCGCGGATTCAGCGAGTAAAGTAGACGAAAGTGAATGGGTTATCCGCGTTGTTTGATTAAGTGTTCGGTTAATTTTTATTCTGGGCGAATGTGGATGGGAGCTTAGAACGGGCCTTTTTGCCCACTTGACTACTATCAATTATGCAAATGGTATGCATGATATACGCGTACTGTTTTATGGGCGGCGGTATATGAGCTTTTGATGCATATACAGATATTTTTTCCCTCTGCAGCTCTCCTCGAACTCTTATCTTGTATATTATTTCTATGCGGGAGAACTTAAGGGGGGGGTTGGCAAAGCGGGTAGGTAACATAGGGAGCGACACCACCTAAGATCATTTTGCCCGTTGCTTAATTCTTTTTAATCAATGATGTTTGTATGAGTAGGCTGCTTCTTCCATTCCAACTCTTCAGATTAAGTCTCTTCGTCAGCGGCTATCTACAATTTCTTGTCGAGCAGGCGTTGCCCTAGGCTTCACAGGTATAGATATACTACGAAAACTAACGAAGATAAAGCAGAAAAGCAAACGGAGAGCATCGGGGTTTCCATGAGATTGAATATTTCTTGTTTGACGCTCCACATATACTCTAAGGCAAATCAGAGACAAAACTAGGGCCTACAGAATCATGCCAAAAGGACGGGGAACACGATGGGAATAGAAATGAACGTGGACGCAGCAAGGTGGAGGAAATACTGAGGCCGGCGAAAAATGAGTTTAAAAGGAATTTGGTGTAGGTTACCCTCTGGGCGGGTGAATCCATGTCAGGTGTAAAATTCCGACTCCCGTCCCGTGAATGATCCACATCCTCCATGGAAAGGACCAAACAATGCACGCCGGCCGCCTCTCCAGTTTTCCGCTGGCATTTGAGGAAAACGAATTAAATCCAGAAGAGCAGCTCAGGGGAGAGAGACAAAAGAAACTCGCCGAATGCAATTTACATAAAGAAATATGGTAAAACAAGGATTCATGTGCAGTGCTTGTGTCTCGGCAAGCACAAGGGTTGGAATAAAAGGGATTCCGCAAATATGTAACTACAGATTGAGAATCAGGGGGAGGGATGTGCGATATGGAAAAGGAGAGACTATACCAAACAAATATACAAAAGAAAATATCAATAACCCGATCAACTCTCGCTTAACAGACTGATTACACCACCGAAAACCTTGAGAGGTACTTAGACTTCTCTAAACTTCGGCATTTTTTCATGGATCCTAGTATCGTTGTCGAAATCCATTTCTGACACTGGGGCAATACTTATGACACGGCTATTCGAATTGGGAGGGTAGGGTGCTGGCGGTAGCGGCTTATTTATTATATCCAGGCTGGCGAAATGGTGGTCATTCTCGTTAATCGCTGTGGCGTTTGTGGATTCAGAATTCGACCGTACAGTCCTGCAAAAGTAAGTTTATTTTCTAGTGTCAGTTCTTCGAGACTGAAGAATGCAAATTTCCAAAAATGCATGTATATAAAATGGACACTTACAAAAGAGTCGGTGAGTACTCATCCATTGATTGTTTCTTCTTCAGAGCCATCTTGGCGCGACTACCGAAAGATCCAAACCGAGTTGAATCTGAGGCTCTGGTGGTGGCAATATGAGGATGCTCCAAAGAAGGGAAAATTTGACCCAAGCCGATTCGAATGAGGAATGCTCGGTACATTAAAGTTGCATCCTTTCCGAATCCAAAGAATGCGAATAGTAGGAAGCCGCATGAAACTTGGATCCAGCGGTCATAATAGACTATGCCATTCATAGGTGATTTTCCGATGTGTCCCCATTCCGGCCCGTGGACGTCATCCCAGGAGTACGGCACCCAGGGCTTTGACATTTCGATATTTCGGTAGAAAACATAAACTTGCGAAGGAAAGCTGCCCAGAAGCAATACCAGGGACAAAACAAGGAGACGGATAAATCTCGACTTGCTTGTTTTGCTACTTACGGACACGATGTAAGAGAATTGCTGTCGGTATTTGAAGAGCCGGTATATAACCAGGACTAAAAGGAATTCGTAGATTAGCGTAGGACACAAGAGAAATAGTACCATAATATGAAAACCTTACCACAGTAGATTACAGCCAGCGACAACACAGCCAACGGCCATGTGAAGATGAGAGCTGTGGAGGGCCAGCTCGGGTGGAACGCAGGCATACAACCAACGATTGCCCATAAGTAATAACGACGGTGCTGGACAACGTAGTGAAGAGCCATCATAATGACAGGGATGACTACGCAGAAAACAATTTCAAAAGCAAGAGTACGCCTTCGCTGGCTCTTGCTGGGAATCAAGGTAGCACGATCTGCGTTCATAACCTCTGCAAGTGAGCGAAATATGCAGGCGAGAGCCCCTGCAATTCCTGCTCCAAGCGGAGCCATGAACTTTGTCTCTATATCACAGAGACCAGCACCATCCCACCACGTAGAAATATCATCTGTAGGCCATATCAAGGGGTTGATAAAGTTGAAGAAGTTGAATATAATGAACCAACCAATGAGACATGATGCAGCGAAATTTCCGGTCCGTGAGTGCCAAACCAGAGGAGGAATGCAAACCAGGACGGACATCAATGCTGTAATGGGCAAAACAATAGCTGCAGTTGATCTGTAGTAAGGAGGTCCAGGTAGATCCATCGGGGAGGTCTAAGTGGACGATGAAAAGATCTGTAGGTAAACTCGCTCCGAAGGCGGTTGAAAACCAACCCCAAGCTCAAGATTAACGGAGCGGGCAGATAAAGGGAATTTAAATCTTCTGGTATGATATGAAGTTTGAGCCAGCGAAGGAGAAATCAGAGTACGAAAGCTGTGAGATATCAAGCGTAGATATTTATCGAAATGGATATAGAAGTAATCGAGGGAAGAAATGAAGCATGAAGCCGAAACAACGTTGAAGAAAACGATGTCGAACTCATTGAGAAAACAAGCAATATATATCTCCATCAAGGATTGAGCTCCAGGATAGAAAATTGGCTCTTGAGCCATGATGAAACCTAGATCTTAAGCGTGGTGAAGGAAACTGCACGTCCAATGCAGTGAGTTATTCAAGGTGGAAGTCACAATAACGTGCCACTAATAAGGGAGAATAAGCAAGTGAAAATCAGTAAATAGGTATAGAAGTAGCAAAAGTGAAGTAACAACTCTATGCTTGAAGATGGAAGTTCGTGTGCTGCGGACGTTGATGCTGGGCTGAGGTTGACCAAACCCATTTCGGGTTTGAATAACGACAGTAACGGTCAATCAAATTGCGTGAATTCTCGTCGCGGTCTTGCAAACCGGGAAGAAACCTGGAAAACTCCAACCGTTTCTGCAAGACATAAGATCTTTACCCGCACAAAGCTCTTGGGTCAGATTATTTGTGATATTTTGGTATTGAGGCGCATTAGCAAAGAAGGCAATGCGTATGCAGTTCAGCTGTGAAACTGCCACAATGTATCGATCAGCCCTAATAAAAGACATTTATCCAGTGTGTCTCGTTTCTGGAATCAGATATCATCCTTCTAGAATATAAAAATGCAAGAGAATGTTGTTGTGCCATTCTGGATGTTCTAGAAATTGCAGGGACCAGCTGCCTCCTTGAGAATTACCCCAAACTTCGCAATCTTGCCGCATTGTCGAAGACATGGACGGCGCTAGTGGAATCTAATATATACCAAACGGTATGTACATGTACATATAGATAGATATCTACCACTTTAAACTTCGTCAGTTTTCCAAGTTTTGGTGATTGAAAACGCAGGAGAAGCAGAAAAAGGTGCCCACACAGAGACATCTGCATCTTGAAACCATCCGCTTTTTTGGTATCAATAAAACCTTCACACATACACAAAATAGCACTATGGCACTATAGCACTGACCTGTTGAAACTCACAATCACATTCACGATAAGCACCGCAATCGTTATTAGAGGGGTTAGTCGACTCGTAGCACGACTCAAAGTGGTGCTGAATAACCGGGAAGCAAACAGCACGGTAGGTAGCGGCGGGATCACAACACAATTGCAAGAGAAGATCTCTCCGCTAGCCAGTAACTAAAAGCATAGAGACCAGAACCCCAAATGAACGGCAGCCTGCATGTATCTCGACCTTTTCGTATTTCTGCAAATTGAGCTCCGAGATCAAACGAGGAACGACAGCTAAGTAAGTTGCTAGCGACTGCGATATTTAGCTTCCAAATATGTTGCAACTTGGCCAATGCTCTCCGTAGCAATAACAAAGGTGTCAACTGGCTCCCATGATGGGGAATAACCCTTGAGCAGGACTTGGTTTCAAAAGCGTTCTCTGCTGAAGAATACACTAGGGATGGAAGAATGAGGTTGGATTGTTGATTGTTCTCCCGAAAGAGAGTTGAGGCTCTTAATAAGTTAGTTACCACAGACTATCCTTGCAGACACGTGCCTGTTCGAACCTCTTCAACTTTCTCGCCATCGCCAACCTTGGACTAAAACACAAACCAACCGCCAAATGAATTAGGCGGAAACCGCCCAAGAGTTGGTTGGTAAACTTATCTTTAGTGTCCACATGCCAACCCGCCGCATCCATCCCGCTACCCGCCCCTGCCGCCATTCCTTAAATGTGCCAAGTTAGCGTGGTAACGTCACAAGCCCGAGCGCTTTGTTCTACTTCGTAGTTACTCCGTACAGCGTTTAGTCGATTGCTCTTTAACCATGACCACTGGAAATAATGCATCCTGGGTCACCATTTGAGCCCATCCCTCCTCTTACCTCCGACTGGTAAAATTCCACTTTCCAATGAGACCATCTCGCCATGCCTGAGCCGAGAATATCTTCCTCAATCCAAACACCAGGAGCTAGCTCACCGGGCTCCGCACCACACCTGCGTCATCGGGGCTTCAACCATTCCGCCACAACATCGTTCGTTGAGCCATCGTCACACCAGCCTCCTGGCCCGGGAAGGTTGCGACGCAGCTCGACTTTCTCTGATACTGTTTCCGAGGCCCGCAATTCCATCAAATCTTCCACTGATAATCTATTCCTTCCACGGGTTAGCTCGCGCGCAAGGTCTCTGGACGATAACAATGAGTCCAACTGGCAGTCCGTCCCGCTGGCGTTGGCCTTGTTGCCGGCAGTCGGGGGTCTGCTATTCCAAAATGGAAGCGCAGTTGCAACAGACATCACTTTATTAGTTCTGGCAGCCGTATTTCTTAATTGGTCTATTCGGTTACCCTGGTAAGAAGGGCCGCATACATTCTGCATTTCTAACATCATCTAATAATGCACAATTTCAGGGAGTGGTACCGTTCAGCGCAAGAGATGTCACGAAGCATTATACCAGAAGAAGATTTCGACATGGATGTAATTATTGAGGAGCCAGAGGAATCCGAGCCTGAGCCGGATAATGAGGAGGAAGATAATTTGAAAGCCAATTCTCAAGAACGGCTATCTAGAAACCGGCAATCCGAAGCAGTCAAAGCAGCCATAGCAGAGCTTCGCCGACACGAAGTCGCAGCTCTGGCATCTTTCTTCCTCCTCCCGTTAATAGGTGCCTGGCTCCTACATGCACTCAGATCGCAACTCTCCCGACCCTCCGAAGGCCTCGTGTCCAACTATAATTTAACAGTCTTCCTGCTCGCCGCTGAAATCCGCCCATTGTCCCACCTGCTAAAAATGGTCCAGGCACGAACCCTCCACCTCCAACGCGTCGTGACCTCAGGCAACCAAGACCGCCGCGAGAAAATCGACGCAAGCAAAATCCTCGACCTCTCTACCCGCCTCGGAGAACTAGAAGCCCACATTGCAGAATCAGCCAGCCAGAACCAGTACCGCATGACACACGGACAAAACGAAAACCTCTCCCCGACCTCATCCACAACCAAATCCACCCTTCCGGACAATACACAACCCACACAACCCGACCTCTCAGCCCTCACCCGCGCCATGCGCCGCTACGAAAAACGCACAGCCCTGCACGCCCACGAGACCGAAACGCGCCTCCAATCTCTCGAAAAGCGGCTGAACGACGCCATCGCGCTCAGCAACGCGGTTGCGGCGCAGCAGCGGCAGCAGCGTAGCACAGCAGCGCCCCGTGTCTCGCCGGTGTATATATCATTACTAAACTGGATTTGTGCTGCTATTGTGCTGCCGGCGCAGATGGTTTGGGGATTGTGCCGTATGCCGTTTCGGATGGCTAGGTGGTGTTTGTGGTGGATTGGACTTGGCGTTACCGCTGCTGGTAGTAGTAAGGGGGTTAGAGGTGATGGGGCAAATGTAGGGAAGGAGGTAGTAGGCAGGGGGAAGAGTGTTGGCAACGGCAGCGTTAAGAGTGGTGGTGATGGTAATGGTATTGTCGGTGGGAAACGAAAATCTAAGCCAATTTCTATATCGAGGGAGTTGATGAGGTCTGTCTCACCTGCTGGTGGTGGTGGTGGTGGTAGGTTGCAACAGCGCGAGATCGGGACGGGGAGGCTGCCGATCTCGAGTTTACATCTGGGATGATTTTTAATTTTTTGATATACCCTTTTTTTCCCCAGTCCATATACTGGTGTTTTTGTTGTTCTTTCGCCCCTTATGACCTTTATACGACTTATTTCTGGGATACCTCAAGTTTTCAATATAGCAGAATGTTAATTCTTTTCTTCTCCTTTTCTTTCTTTGTTCTGCATGGCACAATGGCCAAATCTATCACCCTCCCCCTTTATTCATATATATATTAAATCTTGTTAGTATCAAATCCCTTCCCATCCACCCCTTTGTCTTCTCTCTTCTTTGTGTCCTCCGTGCCTTATGCATGCATGCATACCCTGCAGCATAGAACGTGCCTTTCCATTCTGCAGGTATATGTGGAGTGGAGGGGTGTGTAAATAATATTTAACTAGAATTAACAGTGCAATGATGAGATATAATCAGGGACTCTGTGCTCACCCCCCCCTTTTTTTTTAAGTGATGGGAACACCTTCCCAGCCTTAGAAATGATATATATCTCGGTGCTGGTATGGCATGTGTTGGGCTGGACATGCAGGTGAGCTTTTGTGTGTGTGTGTGTGTGTGTATGTGTGTGTGTAGGACCACCTAGTTACGTATTTGAGCAAGTTTCACTTATATATATGTTAACTATGTAGATATAAAAGTCAAAAAGATGCGTACGCGTATGCATACAGGAAGGGATGAAACTAGAAGAAAATAGTTTTTGAATTTTTGGTCCGCGTAGCACTGTATGTATAAACCACCCAACAAACTTATAGAACATATATCGTCTAATCAAAATGGCGAGAGGTATGTACATGTACAATATATACACATATACATACACACTTCCGTACATTGCGCGTGAGCGATTAATCTCCTTGCCCAATTAAGGGAAGAAGATATAATCATTTTGGACTGAGCTTGAGCTTGAGCCGGCGGAGAAAGGGGGGCAGAAGGAGAGAGGGGGGGGATGTCTCTACATATCCAATAGCCGGTCCATTTCTGGGTGACATTAAGGAGACGTATGGCGATAGGCGGATGGAGAGTGATCCAAAATGAAGCAGGGTGACAGGATAACCAACGGTGACAATATAACGCCGAAGAACAACAGCCTCGAATATGGTTCCCTCCACATCCCTTTTTAAACGGAATTATCGTTCCCATGTCGCACCCCATCATCAATCCTGGTCCCGTCATCGCCAGCAGCAGTAGCAGCAGCAGCAGCAGCAGCAGAAATCTTCCTCCTCGCCGTCCCAATCCCACTAACACCTTTCTCTTGATTCGCCCCCAGCCACGGCTTCCTCGACTCGCCCAACACCTGCCTACCCAAATAATAAATCCCCTGCCCCATCATAATACACACAAACGCGATCGGATACATCCAATGCACCGAATACTTAAACACGTTAACCCCAATAATCACACCCCAAAAATTCGCTGTGAGCAAACTAATATTGAAAAACGCCGCAGAGGCCAGCCGGAACAGAATCGGCGCCAGCGAGTAGAAGATGAACAGACAGAACGTATAGCCCGTCAGGTATCCGCCCACTTTGCCATTCCACGTCGCGCTGGCGAAGGACTCCCGGTCGAAGATGGCCGCTTGCACGCCGATGATGAACATCCCGTACAGTCCTAGCTGACCCAGGACTTCATACATCGGGCGCTTGCTGACGAGGTATTCCTCCGCGACGTTCGTGAGGCCGTAGCAGCTGGCGCCCACCAGGGCGAAAAGGTCGCCCTTGATCTGGTTGCCGCGGGACGGGCCGTTGCCGTCACCGCCGCCACTAGTAATGTGATCGGAGCCGAAAAGCACGCCCATGCCGCCGATGGCGACGAGGATGCCGACGATCTGGGCCCAGTGGTAGCGGACGCGGAGGAAGAGGAAGGAGAGGACAACGACGACGACGATGGCCCAGAAGTTGATGAGTTGTGCACTGAGGATGGTTGTGTACTTGTAGGCGAGGACGATGAAGTAGTTACCCTCGACGTCGCAGAAGGCGAGGATGATATATTTCCAGCCATCCTTTTTGATAACGCGGAGCCAGCCCTTGAGGCCGTAGCTGTAGATGGTGTAGCTGGTGAAGACGAGGTTGAGGAGGACGTAGTTGAAGAGGGATTGGAAGGCTGGGATTGAGGTGCGGATGTTGGAGAGGAGCTGGGAGAGGGTGTTTGTGCCGGTGATACAGAGGGCGAGGGTTTGGCTGTTGTTTTAGGGCTATGTTAGTAATTCGACTCTTACACGGGAAGAGAAGGGAGCAAAACGGATATCTGAATGGACTCCTAACCCAAGGATAAGAACGATATAGAACTCTCTCGTGCGGAAGTATGCGAAGTAGCCCTTCTTGCTCTTGTCGACTGCATCGGCCGCAGGTGCAGCTGTGTCTGTGCCTGACGTCCTCGCCTGTCCACCATCATCCACATTGACGCCGTGAAGATCCTTGCGCACGTCTATGTCTCCATCCAGCATGGCATGATTGACATCAACGCCCTTTGTTTGGACATGGATGGAGTCTGCGCGCTCAGCCATACTCATGCTCGCTTTGCTTGCTTCTCGTAGTTCCAGCGGGGCCAAGATAAGATAAGATATCTACAGATTAAAAATAGGGTAAAAAGGATAGAGAAGAAACAAAGAAATTAAGTAGAAATTGGAGCTTTATAGAGCAGAGCAAGCGCAAAACTCCAGAAGTCGCCTGCTGTGAGGAATTTATATTCCTGGGGGGAGAAGGGGAAGAGGGATTGGGGATGAAGTTGGATGGAGGAGGAGGAGGAGAAAAAAAGAAGAAATTCGGAAAAAAGGTTACGGGGGTTGTGTAGTTAACTAGTTAGTAGTCAGCAATGAGCTTCATCAACCACCGACCGCCAGTCAATCAGATTTAAGGCTAAGCGGGCGGGCTGAGTTAGCGTGGGGATGGGATGGGATGCATTGAAGTTTACTTTACCATTCGTCGAGGGTATTCTGATTTCATCGAGAGTACGGAGTATGCAGGAAAGAAAAGGAAGAGAATCACACACATTGGTTGCTGTCTGCATCTGCCGGGGGGGGAGCATGTTGAGGATTCTGATATATTAATAACTAACTATTCTTGTCCTGACATGTGTTCTCAACCACCGTATCACAGCCGCAAATCACAAGATGTTGAACCTAGAATTGATGATGGTATCACCACCAACTTCATATATGACTTGCTCCATGGAGTAAGTTAACCTGTTATTAGTCGTCCATAGTTTATAAACTGTAATCCCTATCCTGTCCTCTCTAAACCACCTCTCCCTCTATGTGAATACCCATACATCTCTCTCCAGCTCCTTGACGAACTCAAGCTTTACCCGCTTTAATCCCCGTCCCTAGTTCGGGTGTCTTCCGTCCGGTCTTCAATTGGAGCGTCCCCAGTTCGGGTCTCCATTTTGCCCGTCTTCAGTCCGGGCTTTGATAATGTCACGAAGGGGCTTGAGAAGTGATTAAGATATAACGTAATCAACCACCTAACGCTCGTTTCCACCTAATGCTCGCCTTAGTAAATCAATTACAATCAACTTCAAATATTCATATCTCAATGAATATTTTTTTAAAACTATTCTAAAAAACAGAATGACAATTTGTAGATATATATTATATTATATTAAATTTCTATGAGAAAATAACATATAATTATTAATTTATTAAGCTTTTTAAAATACTATTTTAAAATAAAATACACAGTCTATATTTATAAATATATTTATAAATATAAATTATTTTCATATAAAAATTAAATATCTTATAGATTATATATATTTTTAATAAAATATAAAATTTTATCTTGAAATTCTTATTTATTATTGATTTATTTGAATCTTTATATAAAATTTTATATTTTAAAATACTATTTTTGTAATAACTGTGTATTATTTATACTTTAAAATTGTAATTTAAATAAATTATTACATCAAATTATTTAAATATATTTATATTTAATAAATTATTTTTCAAAATTTAAAATTTCAAGAATTTTCAATATTTTACTTGTAATTTATAAAAAAAATTATAATAAAAAAATAAAAGAATTCTTAAAAATTAAAATATAGAATTCTTATATAAAATAATTTAATATTTATTAAATTATAATATATTTATATAAGAATTATTATTTTTAATAATATATAATACATATTTCTTAATTTATAATAAAATATTATATATTTTATTTTACTGTATTTTATTTTCTAATTAAATCTATATTTTAATCAATTTTAACTATAATATAATAATTTTGAATTATATTATACTATAAGTCTTGATATTTATAGATTACAAATTAAAAAATTAAAATAATAAATATTTATTGAGATATTAACATTTAAAGTTGATTGTAATTGATTTACAAAGGCGAGCGTTAGGTGGTTGATTACGTTACTCCGTACTTACTCCGTACTGTTCTCCTAGATCACATCACCTATGGTAGAGCTTTGCCAAGCACCTTATTGCCACCACAAATGTACTTGATCCTAGAGCAACTGTCAACCATTATTGCTATGCTTCCCACCGCTAGTGCCATTGTCCATTGTCAAAGAAAGATGTCGGTTCTCAGGTCCTGTTTTCTTTTTCTCGGGAGCGGGGTACCTCTCTCAGGTAGGTACAATCCCAAATTCTAGAACAGAAGCGCACCAAGGCCCTAAGATTGCGTGTACGTGAGTAATAGTACTGAATGAGTTCAACAAGAGGGCAGATCGCCTGCAAGCTGTAACTATATAGTGTCCGCCCCGGACCCCCTTTCTCTCACCACCTTAGTATTTTTCGAAGTCCTAACATGTTTCGCCCATTACGGGCTTTTCCATTCTCTACATAATATGGAAGGACAGAGGAATCTTGAGGGCTAGGGCTTGATTCCTAAAAGAGCAATCGGAAAAACACAGCATGACATGCCATAGCTACAAATTTGTTTTCTTTCTGCCTTTTCAACTCTTTTCCGCTATTTGACCTGGCTTCACCGCTAATCTCTCTTTTGTATCATTTGTCAAATCTTCCTGCTCCTGTTCTGATTCCAAGCTGGTTCTACTGCAAAACAAAAAGATGGTCCGTCCGACACAGCTAGCTGAGATGTATGGGGATTTCAGCAATGTTGATCCTCGGCTGGTTGTTGCTCTTGAGAAAATCCATGCCGAGGACCCAAGATATAAAGAGCCTGAGGTGCCAGAGTTGACAACAACGGATCCAGAGGAAGGCATCTGCATTGTGTGTCGCTGTGCCTGGTTTCTTCCCCTGCAGTTTGGGCCTTGTGGGCATGTGTTCTGTGCTGAGTGTCTTTGGAATGTGCTATTCTCACATGCTTCTGATGCCGACCCCTCCTGCATGCTTTGCCGCTCTACACAACCCGACTTCAGATACCGATCCGAAATACAGACCATCTCCGCTGACCGATCTGATTTTGACCGGGGGAGGATCTACCTCATTATACTCTTCATGAAACTACAGCTTCTTCATGGTGCATGGTTTGACTGGGATATGGGATCCGACGAGTATAAGATGTTTGAGGTGAACAGGGATACGGATGTGGAGGACATCCAGGGGATCAACACAGAGACTTTGACTGGGCTTCGGGAAGAGGAAGACCACTGGGCGACCAGACCCGCGGAGGAAGGAGATAATGATCAGGAGGAAGATAGCGAGGAGGAGCACCCAGGTCTTCTGGAGATGATACTGCATAGAATCCCAGTTCATGCTTTATGAGGCAGGCTTCGCCGAGTGTGCTTTGCTCGAATTGTCATGCAGGCACGCCTAGAGACACTGGCTCCCAACTACAGAATGTGGTGAGCTAGAAGTGCTGGACGACTATGCGAAAGAAGTAATACAGATAAAACACCATACTCGACAATCGATCAGCCGAAGAATATACATTTAAGCTTGTTAGCAAACTGGTGGACTGGATATGCCCCTGATGCGATGGCGCTGACGGACCTCTTGTTTGCCTCCTCCTTGACGGCACTCTGGGTGTATATAGCAACCAGGTTGGGGAACTTTGCTTTCTTCTTTTCCCTCAACTTTGGATGATCTTTTCGAGGATTCAATTTCACTTTTCTGTCTGTTGGCGATCTGCGCGAGACTTTTAGAAGTCGATGATCAGAATCTGGCCCAATTCATCATTCCATGTCATAGTCTCACTTCTTGTTGATGGGAAGGTCTCACGCCTCAGCATCAAGCTTTCCTGAGTTCTTTCTAAACTATCACCTCCCCAACCCATCATAAGCATACGGCGGATCTCTCTGCCACCACACAGAAAGTATATCAATTTCAGGTCAATCGCTCCTAGAAATACAGGAATTGCGGTGCCCTGTGCTTTCTGAAGAATCCAGCATGTATCTACTTTGCGTGAGACCTCCTTCCAAAGCCGGGATGTGGTCCTCATTCCCACCACAGTGTAGCCGTATGTATCTGATCGCCCGATTGGTAGCAGCTAGGGTCCAAAACACGACCCTGGATCGCATATCCAGCATCGGGATTGACGGCAATCAAATAGTTGTCCCAATATGCAAGGATGTCGCTTCAGACTAGAATCCCATTTTTTGGGGAGTTGAGTCCAGCAGGGGAAGGACTGGGGAAAATGAACTGTGAATAGCCATGGGCCTTAAGGATGTATTCAAGCGCCAACAGAAATATGTGCACGGCTTGAAAGCCAGTCCAATGCCCCCCTTCAGCATCTAGATTGATATCGCCGGTAATTATGCCACGTCCGTCACGTTGGCGGACCGGGCGGATAAACGCCTCATTCCTCGGGGTGCTTGACGGTGACATTATCCGAGGATAGAAGCGCTTGCTGCTTGTATGAATTGACTCCCCTGATGTCCGGGACAAGAGGATCTATCTGCAATGTTGGACCAGTTGATTGGTACACGCGATCGGGCTGCTTGAGCCATTTCTTTGGGCATCAGAACTACCATCCGTGTGGAAAATGACGTGCCTCTGGTAGGAGTACTCGCAGCATAAAGGCCAGGTGGAGAGTCAAAGTTGATCCACATGTTCCGCGAAACAGCGTGATCGAAAGACATGGTTGTCGCGAGAATATTCAATACCCACCAGTTTTGTCTGCCGGATGAGAATAAAATGTCTGGATGGAGATGAAACGTACAAATTTGAAATGGTCAAAGACTCTTCAAAAGGAATGAAGCTTGCTGGTGAGAAAGTCCGAGAAGAAGTAGAGCAGGCGGCAAATTTGTCAACCCATGGCAGAACCAAGTGAATACATTCATGAACGACAAAATCTTCCTCCAGCATCCATAATTCCGTAGCTACAGCTTGCGTCTCGTCTACCCGTCGGATGGTGAATATTCAATACTTTGGTGGACTTTACAGTAAACGGATCAGATCTGAAGATGTTGCTGGGAATCTTCACCTTTCCTGATTGGCTCTAGTCCTGCAAGCCTCCCCTGTGCTCCAACCTCCAGAACAAACAGGCAACTCGGATTGTCATGAGCACTGCAGTTATTCCAGCATCAACTCCTCCCCAGAACTAATATTGACGCGCTGGTCTTGCTTACGAGTACGAAGTGCTTATTTTCGAACCTGGCTGGCGTCTGCCTGACTACCAGGAGCTATGGACCAGCTCACTCGTCATTTGCTTGACAAAGAAGTCAAGAAGTTTATTGATTCGATTGATCCAGCTTTGGTCTGCAAATTGGCTACATTTTTGCATCCTGAGAAGAAGCTTTGCCAGGTCTTCTCAGAACCAAAGAAGGGGAGCTACAATATCTGCTTTCCTATCCTCTTTACAAACACGATCACAACCAATCCAACACCAGATGACGAGTTGACCGAGCCAGCCGAGCCAGCCGAGCCTGTTGAACGATGGATGATCCGAATTCCCCTGCTACCACATCTTGCATTTCCCGAGGAGAAGATGCGAGGCGAGATTGCAACAATGAAGTAAGCAATTTGGACAGTCGTGTTGCAGTCAGGCTCTAACATTGTGATCCTATTATGTAGGTATATTGCTGAGAGGACTACCATCCCTATCCCTCGTGTCTTTGCATATTCCATCAACCGAGATAACATCCTTGGCCTTCCTTTTTTGGCTCTGGAGCACATTACCGGAAAAACCCTTCATGGAACTGATGTGCCACGTCTTTCAGATGAGCTGCAGTCGCATTTATTCAATCAACTTGCGGAAATTTACCTCCAGCTCTATCAACAGCAATTCGATCATATTGGTGCTCTCACGCTTGACAGCAATGATGAGAATTGGATTTTTGAACAAAATCGGCCGCTCACTATTGAGCTAAATGATCAAGAACTCAGTGGCATGAAGGGTTCTGAGATTATGCCCCTCAAGCGGACCTATTCTTCTACTATTGATTATGTGTTCACTATTTTGAAATTGATTTTCAACGACTTTCACCGCGGGAAAGATAGTGTTTTCAATGAAGAGGATGCACGGAACTATCTATATGGTATATTTGCTTCCCAAGGCATTGTAATGGAATGGGTTAAGCATAAGGACAATCATGGACCTTTCATCCTTATGCATGGTGATCTTCGGCCTCCGAACATCTTTGTGGACAATGATCTGAACATTGTTTCAATCATTGACTGGGAGTGGAGCCACACCATTCCACCGCAAATGTTCCTCCCACCTTCTTGGATTACAGGTCAGGAACTTCCTGCTGCCACGAAAAAGCCCTATGACTTTGCATTTACAGTATATGTTTCCCGCTTTCAGCGTGCCGCGATGGCAAGAGAAGACACATTTTATAACCCGGGGAAAAAGATAAAATATATCCTCCCCATGGTCATGCGCCTGTCAGAGAATCTACTGTGGGGGAACATGTTTATTGCATACGCACTCTTGAAACCCTGCTATTTTGGGAACGTGTACTGGAATCTATTGGACCAAGAATTTTATGGAGAGGACAGCAAGCAGCGAGTGGAAAACTTCTTTAACCTTAATCTGCGGAAGCCACAAGTGGAGGCTTTGAAGAAAACAATGTCTGAGCTTGAGGCTTTCAAGGAAGAACTAGCACTGGCAGGGCTAGAGCCAATTGAATCTTACCCTATGCCAGGTCGCCAACCAGACAAACCAAAGAAGCCGAAATTCACGTCCCAGATCCGTAATCTTGCAAGTATCCATCAATGGCGACAATCCGACATCGCAAATGTTATTGGCTCCCTTCCGTCTTGGTTACCCTGGTCACTGATTGGTATCAGTCTCTCTGTCTGCTGCAGCATCATGGTCAAACAGCGACAATGAAGGGGAAAGATTACCTGTTGCTGATTTTCTTCAATTTCCCTGCGATAGCAACACGGTAGCATGCTGCAATGCAACAATCTTTTCATTGATTGCTTGCAATTCTGCCTGATACTTTCTTATTTCCTGTTCGGGAGTCATAGTTTCCCCGATATCACGCAGGCCCCGTGATTTTCGGGCGCTGGAGGAAAGTAACTTCAGCTCAGGGATCTGGGCTTCCAGAGATTCAATAAACTCTTCCAGCTCAAGTGCCTTTTGTTGAAGCTGCTGTTGCTCCTCAAGCTTTGCTTTAAGTTCGTCGTTGATATCATCGGATAGGGACTTATTTTGGGAGGCCATTTCGTTGACTCTTCTGTACGGGGAACATATCAGCATTATGCCAGGTATAGTAGAAGAATAGACACGAAATCCTTACGCAGGAATCTCTTTTCTCTAAGATCACTTTGAATCTCGGTTTTGGAGCTCTTGTAGAAAATGATTCAATGAGAGTAGGAGATCAAAACCATTTTGTTAAGAAAGGAGAACTATTACCCCTCTTCTTCCAACGCTCCGATGCCAGCACATCGAACAAGGACCAAGTGGTGATCGGCCAATGAAGCAAGATAGATATTCCGGCGTGCATTGTTGCCTAATCTCAGGGCCTTGGGCCACGGATGAAGGTGTGCTTGATGGCTTCTCAGACTTCGCCTGGTTGGTTCCTCATCCCATCTGCAGAAATAGCGTGTCTTATTCTGACTAGACCTTTGCCAGAGAGTACAGATGTGCTGGCTAATGGCAAGGTTTTGGACAAGGAGCTTCGTTTGATTCCGAACAACCGTACATATACGAACCAGGCTAATATAACAAGAAGTCCCCACAAGGAAACTGAGTGCGGTATCAGAATATTATCAGCCATTCATAATGGCTTGCTTGCATTGCATCTCTTGTCTATCTAAGAACATGAATCCCGATTTAAACATAAGCTAGCTCCGGAGAAGCGGATTAAAAGAGCAGATCAGGGTTCTTGAGACCTGTACTGTCCGCTCGTAGGATCAGTGCATCGTCATGGCCATGGCGAGAGAGGGTGTGCCAGGATGCACAGTTTTTCTACCAAGGTCCATGATCTGTGCTCCCTATTTGCCGCTGTAGCCGCAGAGTATCTTAGAAGTAAGAGTATTGGTACGCTGGGCATGGGGTGGTTCAAACACTGTTGGCCACTGCGGATCAGACTTCTCCAGCTTTAGTGAAGGCATCTTCTTACACGAAGAAGTTCTCCAAAGCTACTGTTAATATTTAACATCAGTGGCTGGATCATGCTAATTAGAGAGCAGTTAGAAAGTTGCCTCAACGTGCTGAGGGGGTGAAAACGTCAAAGGTCGACATTCGAGAGGGGATATAAATGGCGGTTTTGAAGTGGGAGCAAGATAATAAAGAACTGACAGCCGGAAAGAAATAAAGAGAGATGAAAGAATAAAGGACGGAGAAAGAAGGCTGAGACACAAAAAAAGATGGGGGGATAAGGATAGGCTGCTGAAGAGAATATGTTACTGAGTCGTATTTCTTTGAAAGGAATAACGAAGACGCTTGTTGAGACTTAAACAGCCTTCAGCCGCGAATGACTGCGGGGCTGGAGGCATAGGGATATAAGATGTGTCTTGAAAGAAAGTTAGTTATTTGATCTACTTCTTTACCCGGGCCCTCCTTGGTCTCCCCACTTTCTTCGCCACTTTTTTACAAGATGAGGGCTCCTGGAGGAGTCTCATTCTTTCCACCTCGCCAGGGGGGAACTCGTCTGCAGGCTCCCAGGTAGAGTACCATGCAACACGAACAAATGGCTTCCCATCTCTCACCTCATAGCCGATGAGGGCTCTGTATTGCCAGCCGGGCTGCTTCCATTCAGCGGACCGCTGCCCCTTGACGTGTATCGTCGGTCGGGCAGGTCATATCAATCACCTCAATGGAACCACCCTCGAGCGGGGGTAGATGCCCATGCTTGCATTTGGACGCCCGGATGAGAGAGATTGCATCACCATCGAGATGGTACCTGACTGGGACATATCGCCCCCAGTAGTAGTGTAGTCTTGTCTTCGCCAAGCACAGGCTGTCACCAGTAATTATAATCGGCGTATCTGGTGCATATTAGAATCATAGATACCAAAATATGCGAGTAGACATTACCTTGAGGCTCTCCAGGGCTTTGCCTGTGTACGGGGGAATTTGGTTCGCAGGGTAGATTCCAGGTCTTTAGGAGAATGCTGTGCAGGTGGCGAGGGTAGCAATGTGGCCAGGGTGATTATCCCAAGGGTCTCATGCGAAATCCTGTCATCATCGCCTTGATCTGATACCTTAAATTATGTCACAGCTGTTAACGCAGATGTGACAGCGGCAGCGGGTTCGGCTAAACGCGTCTGCTTCTTGGTTCGTCGAAGCACCGACTGCCGCTGGCGCAGGGCCGATTCTGTCCTCTCGGGGAAACACCCTTCTATCTCAGGCCAGGGCCGGTGGTTCTCCGTCATGCTTAGAAGGCGTGCATCATCCTCGGGGGACCACCGCCACAGCTTGTCTCTATGGCCCTTCCTCCTTTTACTGTTCCCAATCCGAGTTTGCTCGACCTCCTCGTGGGAATCTGAGCAGATGGCTGGCTGCATGCTCTCATCAGAGTCAGGCATGCAGCTCGCCAGAGCACCTTCAAATTAGAAACGTCTTGTGAAAGTTGTACTGGGAAATGTATAATAGATCTATATCAGTCTTGAAAGAGTGGTCTTGTCTAAATTAAAATGTTAATTATGTCTTAGATAACTGGTAGTCTTGTATCTTGCGTCTTGAGACTGATGGAGTCTCAAATCAGCTCTCCCATTTCTCGGAGACATCTAAGACTATATTATATGGCTACCATGAATATTCTCCCAAGCCCAATGCAGTATTGAGACCGTTCAAATATTCGTCACTTCCTCCTTTGGAATGACCTTTGTGATCTTATCACCTGTTTTGGTTAGTTAAAAGGTGAGGGAAGAACTTTTGGTTGATTTTTTTGGTGCTCAGTCGAAAGTTAAAAAAAGTCTTCAGATTCAAGAGACATCCTCGCGCGATCAAAATTGTTGAGTTTGATGGTTGGGTTGGATGATAGTAAGATCTCTCTTGGTTGGTTGACAGAGGACTAACTTCGTCCATATACGTTCCACGCGGGCTTGCTATCCCTGGTCAACTCCCTGCAAATAAGAGAACATGCCGAAGCTTTATTAAGCTGCGGGAGGAACAAGCGAACGAACTGTTCTTGTTCCGAACGCCTTGTCCTTTTCGAATCTGACACTGCCGGACAATGGGGATGTTCAATTTGCTGGGATAAACGGGTTCTATCTACTGTGCTAGTGCTAGTGGGGTAATAATTCCCACCGTAGCGGTTCTTTTTTGCAGTTCCTAAGAAATATATCAGACCCTAAGTCACCTACACTCCTTTGTTAGATGCTGGTCAAGCAACAAAGCAGATAGAAGTAACAAAGAAGATGACGAGGTTTAAAAGGAAAAGAATGAAACATTAAATTGATCATCATTAATCAATCACAAAGTTTCTTTGCTTAGTTTCTTTGCTCACTAACAAAAAGAGTATATTCTCAACTATGAACCCTTCTCCACTACCATTTACCCCCCTACCCATGAACTTCTTTTTGTAAATATCTATACAGTTGTGTAAGATGGGGAAAAGTGATGATGATTTGACAGTTGGACAGGAGAGGCACACATACATGTGTGCATGCATGCACTCCACACAGCCCTGTCATCTCCTTCTCCCTTTCTAATTCTCTATTATTTCTACACTTCCTCCTCCTCCTTATGAAGTTATGATATTATACATATGGACCATCTAGCGCCCGATCATCCTTTTAGCTCCCCGTTCCCCCCCGTCTTGTCACTTGAGGTTGACATCTATTTGTTAGCCCCCAACTCCAACGGCGGTTGGGAGCCTTTTTCCTCTTGCGTCAGGAACAAAAAGAATAAATACCTAGATTCGCCTAGAGATTAGCTTGAGGCTTTACTCAGGAGATCGAGGTTTTTGTAGTAACAAAAGAAAACATAATAAAAGTGGCCCAGTCAGATTTTCTGCCCCCAGGGGGATCTCGGGACGTCCCGAAAGTGGCATGTTCCCTTATTTTGTATGGAAGGTTCGCTTCAACATGTCTTGGATTTGGATTGGTATCCGGGTGTAAGGGTGATTATATAGCTGTCTCGAGCAGGTTTCGGTCAATCTCCTGGATATAGGCTGTCAATCCAATCATTCAGAAAATCGTTCAGGCTTGAAGAGCTGAACTGAGTTAGTAAATTCGCCAGTCGCACGGCAGATAGAGAGAGAGAGAGATAGCGTGCGATATCTCGTACAGTTTTTCTTGATATACATGTAGCCCCATGACCACCCTAGAGTGGTGCGGCGGCACGTTGCTGGCGTTCTTCAGAATGTTCCTGAGAAGCATAGGCCTTGGTAGTAGGATAGACGGCCATCTTTGTGGCATGTACAGATGTAGCTTCTTGTGTAGTTAGTTAATATGGGCCATGGCATCTTAATGTCCGTATCGAAGAATACGGGGCCATGAGGAATGATCGACTTCTAGTCAACTTTGATTGACAAGGGAGCTTGTTAGGACGGGAAACGACAGCCATTAGCACAGAGGGTTTATATATATATATCGACAGAGTTGGATAATTTGTGGGGTTGGATTGGATATTCGAGATCGGCCAAATCAAGTCCTTCCCAAGCTGGGGAATGCACAACATAGATGGACATTCCGAAGATAAACAAACAGCGGGGGAAATAGATTGTTTAGCAGCTAAATGAATAAGTGCAACATCAATCCTTTATGGCTCTATTTATGAGCTGTGTCCTAGTCAATGTACGTCATGTCCTGGCTGCTGCTGTGGCTAATAAGAATTGTCGATGTACTGCGAGATTTTGAGGCTTGGTTGGTTCCAGTTCCAGCCTAACCCAAAGCATCCACGCGGCTCCAATTCCCAATTCAGGCTGGGACAAGCAACTTATACTGTGCTGTGCATCCTGGACAACTTCCACCACATCCATCCTCCTCCGACAGCTCTCGTCTGTCTCCCGTCGCATGTCATTCTTTTACTTCTGAGCAATACTCTCTTCATCCTCTACTATCCTGACACCGTTGTCCTCGATCCAGCGGACCCGTTGTTGCGTTGGCCGTTGACCGAGACTTTCTCTGTGTCTGTCTCCACCACAACCAACCCTAGCACCCATCCCATCCCGCGTCCGCCTCCTCCTCCCACGTCCATCAGGATTTACCGACCATCCGTTGACCACTACTGCTCTGTGGCCCGACCCACCTGCCATCATTTCGGCGTTCCAGCATCTTCAGCTTTCTCCTTGCGATCCCATCCCATCATAGGCTCGCTGGTCACCCATTTCTTCTTCCTGGGTTTCCCCGTCGTTCGCTTGACTCCAGCTCAACTACAGAGTACCCCGGTCGCGTCTCTCAGCAATTTTTTTCCTCTGCGCCCACACACCGCAAGCCCGCAAACCATACCTGGCCCTGCCGAGGCGCGCCCACCAAAGCTGCACAACACTCCCTGTGCCTAGATCGCACTAACCAAACCCGCTTCATCGTTTTCCGCCACGACACATCACATCATTCGTAACCCTCGCTGGCTCCATCCTAGTATTAACGTTCCTTTGTAGATCGCGAAACGTCCGAGAGGGAGAGCTTTTCCGTGTATCTCTCTTGTCTCCATTTACGCTCTTGTTCTGCCCTTGGTCTTGGCCTCTTCTCGTTTTACTCTCACATTTTATTTGCGAGATTGCTTGTGCCTGGCTGCGGCTCTCACCACGCCGGTACGCTCGACTAGAGTTGGCGCCGGAGTGACGAGACGCCTCTCTTCTCTCGGATAATGGCAGTGGTGGCACCAGCGCCAAACGATCGAAAGCGGGTCAAGGTCTATGAATTGAGAGATAATGACTGGTTTGATAGAGGAACGGGCCTGTGTTCTGCACAGGTCATCGATGTAAGCGCCCCCTCACCCACCTGCCTGGCTCATCTGTACTTTTCTCGTTTGTCATCGCATTAAAACGTTGATACTACCATGCGGCCATCGGAGCTACGTGCGGGAATACAGGCGAAAGATTTGTCTTGACTAATGATGAACTTTCACTGCTTGTTTTAGGATGAACCGAGAATCTACGTTGAATCGGAGGACGAGCCCGGTCGGATGCTTCTAGAATCCAGGATTCGTAGAGATGATGGATATCAGAAACAGCAAGGTCTGCCAGAGCTTTCCTACGCTTGATCGCACATGTTGGAACACGCGCTGATACTCTTTGAGGACAGAAACGTTAATCGTGTGGACTGAGCCTGGTGGCACGGACATGGCGTTGAGCTTCCAGGAAGCTGAGGGATGTGCTGTTATCTGGTTCGTCATAAATCCGTCCCCCCTTCTCTTCCCCGCGATTCAATCGGTTGGTACGGCTGCTAACTGTAACTACGTTTTTAAAGGGAATTCGTAAGCAATGTACAACAGCAAATGCTAGCTTTCACGGGCCCGGGTAAGTTTATTGAAGCATACTTTGCCCCGCGCGCGCGCGATTCCCTAGTCGACCTCCTAGGCTTCGAGGAGGAAATATATTAACTTTTCCGTTAGATGATTCCCTCTCCGATGATGCTCTCGATGCTAGCTTTACGAATCCCGTAACACTGCCTCCGCCGGAGCTCGGAAACCTTGCTGAAATTGAGCAACGAATACGACATGCCAGCATCGGCCCTGGACGAATTTCGCTCACCAAATTTTTAGTCCGCGAAGAATATCTCCTCAAGCTTCTACCGCTGGTCAGCGATGCTGAGGACCTAGAAAGCCTCCCGGATCTACATCGACTATGTAATATTATGAAGTCCATCATCTTGCTTAACGATAATACCCTAATAGAGCTCGTCGTGAGCGATCATGTTATCAGTGGTGTAGTGGGTGCGCTTGAATGTATGTCACTGTCCATTATATTCCCTTAACCTTGATCATGTTTTTGGCGCAACGACAACGACTCATTGTCCACCTAACTCTCTAGATGACCCCGATTTCCCCGCCCACAAAGCAAACCATCGCCAATACCTTAACGATCGCAGTCGATACAAGGAAGTTGTCCCAATTAAGGACCCTCTAATTCTGCGCAAAATCAGACACACCTGGCGGCTACAGTATCTAAAAGATGTGGTCCTCGCACGGATCCTCGACGATCCCACCTTTTCCGTGCTGAATTCCCTAATATTCTTCAACCAAGTCGACATCGTCCAGCACCTCCAAAACAACACCCCTTTCCTCAACGAGCTTTTCGCCGTATTCAACCCGAAAAACATAGACAACAAGCGGAAGGAAGACGCGGTGCAGTTCCTCCATCAATGTGCAGCCATTGCGAAAAATCTCCAAGCTCCCGCCCGCGCCAACCTCCTCGCAAACTTCATCGGCCATGGTCTCTTCTCCGTCATCGCATTTGCGGTAAAACACCCAAACCCCGCCCTGCGGACGACTGGTATCGACATCCTAGTTGCCTTACTAGACCACGACCCGCTCATGATGCGCGGATACATGCTGAAGGCTGTCAATGAGAATAGAGTGCCATTGACGGATACGCTCATAGACTTGCTCCATGCTGAGACGGACCTGGGTGTTAAGAACCAGTTGGCTGATGCGATCAAAGTCCTGTTGGATCCACAGGTGCCTATCCAGGATCCGCTGAGTAGGGCTGGCGCAGATTTCCTAACTAAACTGCGCGCGCAGAACCCTGCTCCCGACACCTTCGTGCAGAATCATTTTGATGAATCTGCGAAAAGGCTCTTTTTGCCGTTAAAGAAATTGGAGTCTAGGGAATCACGTAAGTTTTTCTTTTTCTTTTTCTTTTCTTTTCTTTCAAGAAAAAAAAAAAAAAAAAAAAAAAAAAAAAAAAAAAAGAGCTGAAGAGAGCGCAACAATATTTTTTCATACTACGCCAATGATTGTGGAGATATATGCTAACTGTTGGAACTTTCATCTGATTGTAGTTAATGACCTTACGTTCCAAGAAGTCTCGTTATATTCGCATCTTGTTGATATTCTCACATTTTTTGTTCGGCAGCATTATTTACGGTGTCGAGGATTTATGCATGGTGAATCACTTACGCCTAGGGTTGCGCAATTGTTGACAGTACCGCAGAAACATTTGAAACTAAGTAAGCTATCTATACATTTCATCCTTACCCTGTTGCGCTCTCGGTCGGGAGAAGATCCTTTCTGGGAGTCAGGTTGGATTCAATGAACGTCTTACTGACATTGTGTTTGTCCGAATTAGCTTCTTTGAAATTCTTTCGCACTTTGATAAGTTTACAAGATACCTTCTACGTTGCGCAGATGACCCACAACAACATCTTCGAACTAATCCTAAACATCGTCTACGAAACCATGCCCCGCGACAACCTGCTGAACTCCGCCTGTCTGGATCTCTTCGAATTCGTGAAGCGCGAAAACATCAAAACCATAATCATCCACGTCGTCGAGAAATATAGAGATATTCTCAAGAACATCACGTATGTTGACACGTTCCAGCATCTAATATTTCGCTACGATCAATTGCAAGGATACGGGGCGGCGGCAGAGGCGGACGCGACGTTGTTCAGCCAGGACGAGTCGGGGACCCCACGAATGATCATCAACGGTGGCCAGCGGTGGCACGGAGTGAGGGGAATGGATGCGGCGGAGGAGGAGTACTTCGATACGTCAGATGACGAGGAAGATGAGGTATGCTTCTCATCTCGTGAATTTGAACATGATGAACGGGGGCAAGAAGGGGAAGAACGTGACAAGAGCGTCAAGTTCAATCAGGCGCATTGTTATCGTGATGGGACATCGGTACTTATTGTCGATTACCAACAGGACAAGCAGCAGCAGATGGATACGACGGCGACGAATGCGAACGCGAATGCGTCGACGGCTATTGCGGTTAATGGTTCTGCGTCACCCGTCCTCAAACCTCTGGTCGATTATCCGGATGATGATGACGAGGACGCCATGGATATAAATGTCCAAGGACAACCACAGTCGTCAGACTCAGTGGTTATGCCCATCGACCAAGCGCAACCTCAACCGCAGCCGCAACAGCAAACACAAACACAGCCCGAAACAGCCTCGACATCATCTCCTGACCACCCCACCACCACCTCCAGCCCCCGCCTCCCCGCACACCGCTACACCGAGAAACGCCGGCGCGAAGAAGATGACGATGACGACGAACTCGTCAAGTTATCCTCTGGCACGAAGCGGCGTAGCTCAAGCCTGAGCAGCATCGGCTCATCATCCGGAAGCGTTGGAATCGGTATTGGTTCGTTGAGGAAGAAGAAGAGTTTTTCCGGGATGGGGAAGAATGATGAACGTGAGCGTAGTGGTGCCGATGAGACGGGGACGGGCCCTGGTGGCACTGGTGCGAAGAAGATTTCGATTAGTTTGAACCTGTCATCATTTAAGGCTGGAGCTGCGCGGGGGGGCAAGAATGTGCCTGCGGGTGCGGGAACGAGTGTGGGAGTGGGAGTGGAGTCTGGAACGAGCCAGACAGTGGGTAGTCCCGCCGCAGCCACGTCCACCACACTCATCGCTGAAGGAGAGGAAGATACCCCTGAGAAGACGGATGGCGGCAGTGGCGTTGTAGCTAGCGATGCGAGTGATGTTGATGATGATGATGATGGCGGCGGTGGTGGTGGTGGTGGTGGTGGTGGGGCTAGTGGGGATAGCGGAGGCCGCGAAGCCAGGAGGAGCGTTGGTGTCGGCGCCACATAGAAAGCCGATTTGCCCCATGCTACCTTTTGCGTTGCGTTGCGTTGCGTTGCGTTGCGTTGCGTTGCGTTGCGTTGTGTTGCGTTGCGTCATGTTGCGTTTACATGGAATTGAACTGCCAGGGGCGTCGTGCTATTCCTTCCTGATTGCTGTTGCTTGCTGAGTTTTATTTGAACTTGGGGGCTTTTGGCTTGGGCTTTTGGCTTTGGTCTGGTTGGTGGATGGGTGTTTGGTCGTTCCTGACTTTTGATTTGTTCAATTCACTTTTCTTTTGCCTCTATGCTTTTTCTCTCTCTGCGTGTGTATTCTCTATAGGTGAATGTGAAAGGGTGAAAGGTGAGGCCAATTGTCTGTGTCATATGTGGAGTTCTACTTTACTTTTCTTCTGACCTGGCTCCTTATGCCCTTTTCACACATACTTCCCGATCCGTGTCCGTATATGATGTATCTATCCTACGCATTCTCACCATGAATTTCCTTTTCCTTCCTTTTTTGTTTTCTCTGAAGGTTTAAAATTATAGGAAAGAAGAGCCATAAGGTGTATGAATTGATTTGATACAGGGGTGAGAAAGAGGAGAGAGAAAGATCAACACAGCCATATTCCTAGATACACAAACGAAATACTTGAGATCATTTTTAAAAATGTTGTTTGCTTTGACAACTAGATACTGCGTGATGTCGATATTTTTTTCATCTGAGTTGAGTGTAGTAAATGTGTAAATTCGGAAGATTCATCTATCAATGATTGACATATTAATTAGCATGAGGCTAGGAAGTGCCGCAGGTATTTCAAGAAGGTGTGTTTGTAGGGAAATAGTATGTTGTAACTTATTTGGTCGCTAGGTAAACAAAATTCTCCACATGAAGATATACCTCAATAAGCTTCTACAAAGAGCACTGTACACCTAATCTGCATGCATAGGCTTTTCTATACCTAAAACCCCCTGGCACGCCGTCAATCCCGATCCACTGAAGGAAAAAAGAGGAAAAAACTCCCCCAAGAAATGACCCTAACCACACCACATATCACGGCAAACAGCTTCCTAACAACAACGACCACCACCAGCACAAGCTCCACAACGACAGATGACCCAGAGCCCGTACTAATATACTTCATCACCGGAAACCCAGGGCTTATATCCTACTATCATGCATACCTTTCCCTTCTAAGTTCAGAACTCTCTCCTGGTACCGATGTTGATGGTTGTGGTGCTCCTGATAGCGGGAGCTGGAGCAACAGCAACAGCAACCGCAACATCCCCCAATGCATCATCCATGGAAAAAGCATGGGCGGTTTTGAGATTATTGAAAATGACCGAGGTGTGAGTAACGTTAATGGAGGGACAGAAGCGCAAGCGCACCCAAGAGCAGCAGCAGCAACGAATACGAAGCTATACAACCTCTCAGAACAGATTGAGCATGTGGAGCGCAACCTGAACGATTTCGTGGATGCATGGCGTGCGAGGATGGATTGGAGACAGGAGACGGACGGCAACGGCGTTGCTCAAGAAGAAGAAGAAGAAGGAGGAGGAGGAGTAGAACGACGGCAGCGCGGAGGTGCTAATGTGATTTTAATCGGCCATTCGGTTGGTGCGTATGTCGCTATGGAGCTCATAAGACGACAGCGGGAGAGGAATAGTAAGAGGCAGACGAAGACATCATCATCAGCCGGCAAGGGGGAATGTGGAAATGGAAATGATGGTGCGATGGACATTATCGGCGGAATCCTGCTGTTTCCGACTGTGGTTGATATTGCGAAGAGTTCGTCTGGGAGGAAGTTGACTGTTCGTTTATTTTGGTTTTTACTTTTTTTTAATTACTGCCTCTTTATTTCGATTTTGTGTATACTTTTCCCCCTATCTCATGTTTAAATGTCTTCTACGCTTATGGCATATACATACCCCCTCATCTATCCGTCCATCCCTACAAAATACCTTTTATCCTACCATGTTGGCATACAGACTACTTTACTAACAAACATCCAAATTCGCAGCGACTTCTCTACATTCCTTACCTAGCCTTACTCACAAGCCTGCTAGTCAAGCTCCTCGTATTTATACTGCCGGGATCTTGGTTACGCAGCGTGGTGGGGATGGTTATGGGTTCGCCCCCAGGAAACGCAATTGACACAACAGTGGAGTTTTTAAGGAGTAGACGGGGTGTTGAGCAAGCGATGTGAGTAATAGATGCGATTTTTCTCTCTTTTAAAATGTGTTCTCTTTCGTATTGGCTGTTTTCTCTTTCTTTCTATCTCTTGCCCCTTATTCCTTCGAACTCCCCGTTTCTTTTCCCAATTGCGCACATGGGGTTAAAAAATAACCTCCACTAACTAAACATCAACCACGGCATATACAGACACATGGCCGCAGACGAAATGCGCGAGATAACATCCGACACATGGAGTGACGAGATTTGGGGCATAGTTTCGTCATCACCCGCACGTTCATCAACGCCAATATCAACCACAGCTTCAGTGCCAGCAAAGGTACCACTGAATCTGGTGCTATATTTTGCACAGCAAGATCATTGGGTAGCTGATCAGACGAGAGACGATATTATTCGAGCTAGGGGTGGTATGGAAAAGGGCACGGGTAGTAATGGTCCCAGGATGCAAGTGTGCGAGGATGGAGTGGTGCATGGGTTTTGCATTCGTGAGCACTCATTTTCTTTCTTTATCCTTTCATATTTCTCATTCTCCTGCTGTTTCTAAGAAAGTTATGAGCTTGCGAGGTGGCAAATGATCACTGGAGAGGGGATGAAGTTCTAGTTCTGACTAACTCCTCCCCTGTTTCTCATATATAGGGCATAGCGATATCATGGCAAAAAAGACCGCCGCGTGGGTGAGGGATATTATCCAAGGGCGACAGAACGGCCAGCGGTTCACTACAACCGCGTAGGCAGATAGGCAATACATAGACCCATACTCTCAATAGATCCCTTGTTTTTGTCTGGCAGAGAGACGGCGCATGGGGATGCCGAAGACATAATCAATAGGTGTCACAAAAAGCCGTAGGAACAGACTATCTAGCTATTTGCCAAAGTCCTCCCGTCCAATTAAGGCCTAAGTCGTATATAGAAACTACATTCAAGTAGCCTCTAGGTCACTGTGCGGGAGCTTGATAAGCCTTTCTGAAAAGCGCACCAAGTACATCACTTCCTGCGGTGGTTGTTGGTAACTGCGGTGGAGCAGCGGGCGGAACTGGCCAATACCCGCTTCCCTGCTGCCCGTGATGTTGATGTTGATGATGTTGCTGCTGCTGCTGCGTTTCTGAATCGACGTTTCGTAACGCGGGACTGTGAACCTTCACGCTCCACTCATCATCCTGCTGCCTCTGCTGTCCAAACAACTCTTTCAGCGAAATCTGCCGATCCATGGGCACACCACCCTGATACAACTCCTGATCTCCATGAACCTGCGCATCACCCAGGTTTGCCTCCGCAGCAGCCCTCTCCTGCGCAAATTTCCTACTCTCCCCACCATGCACTGCACACTCTTTAATAATCTGCGCATTCAACGTCCTAGTCTCCGCCGTGGAGCTAGGAGGGGGCTCCGAGAAGATCCACAGCCCATAAATAACCGACTGACGACCATCCGCCGACTTGATCGTGGTCGCGCTAGGCTCCGTGCCCGTCGACGCAACTTTCAAAATGACATATTCCTCCGTAATCTCCACATCCTCGCCGTCCGCAAGCATGGCTTCGAAATTCTGCATGCCGCGCCGGTTCAGGACCAGCACACTATAGCGCTCCTCGCCCAGCTCGCCCTGGGTCAGCTGGCAGACAAACATGGTGCCTTCGATGCCGCTCTTCTCCCACAGCTGCGTCGTAGCGCTGAAATTGTAGACGACAGCGTAGGGGGCGAGGGAGAGGATGGAGCGGATGTCTGGATTGTGGCGCTGGAGTACGGCGAGGTTGAGCTCTTCGTTCGTGCGCGTTGGGGGTTTTAGCTGCGAAGGGTCGGTGGCCATAGAGGAGGAGCCGTTGGCGGCAATCCGGGTGTCTGAGATGTAGTTATTTTGAATATCTGATTCGTAGTCAGAAGGCTGGGCCAGGTTTGAGGGATTGCGGTTGTGGGAGGATCGATAGGAGGGTTGTTGATGATTGTTGCTGGGCATGTTACTGCTCCGGTCTTGACCCCGTCTGAGAGGCATGGCTGCGGCTGCTCTATTATGCTACTGTACTGTGTATTGTAGTTATGTTCCAGTTGGGTGAATTGGTTAGGATAAACAAAGAAAAGTAACGTGAGGAGGAACTTATTTAAATCGGCTGTGGCTTGGAACAAACGGCTCGGCCGACGACGTCAACGACAACTAAATATGTCCACCAACATCTGGACTTGGACTTAAACAGTTGAGGTATTATATCAACCCCTGATTAATGCATATAATACAACGAAATGTGACTCCAATTGATGTGCTTTGAGCTCGTTCTTCTGCTTCTCCGTTATCTTCACACCCTCAGCCCCTCTTCTAAACACATGAGCGAAGCTTATTTGGCTTTCAGCTTGCCACACCAGCCTAAGAACCGCCCAGCTGACCGGTTAGCACAAGGGTTTGTGAACATCTGTCATGAACGCATCGCGGTGGAAGCGCTCAATGTATCAACGTATTTAGCTTTGTCGCCATGAGGAGCAGATAAACGTGGTTGGGCTCTTTTACGTATCTACTCATCCTCAATCGCTTAGTTACCACCCCGCAAACCATGGCCCCGAGCGACGCCCACGAACCCGCCACCGCCCCCGCCCCTGGCCCCGCAGATGTGCCAGGCGCTTTCCCTGACACCCTCGACAACGACGACGGGGATAGCTCCCTATCCTCCGGTCTCCAGTCTATCTCTCGAGCCCTTAAAGCTAGGAGGTCTGAATATATCCGCCCGCGGAAACTCCGCGTGAAAATCGGGACGTGGAATGTTGCCGCCTTACCAGGTACAGAGGACGACGTGGCCTATTGGTTCGCCAAAAGAGCTGGACGGTCACCGAATTTACCGTCGAAGCCCTTTGGCGACAGGACAAACGATATACATGCTAGATCGGGGAATACCAAGAATGGCCTTCGGCGCTCTGGCAAGGCGGGATCCTGGGTCGATCAGGAATTGGCAGGTTGTGGATCTGTACAGTTGGCTGCTGGCGAACCTGTCTCGGCTGGGCCTGGGGCTGCGGGCGCCGACGATATCGATATTTATGTGCTGGGACTACAGGAAATTGTGGACGTTTCATCTCCGTCGGAGTCGCTGAAGCCATATGTCGATCCGGCGCCGTCCAATCGATGGAAGGAAGCCGTTCGGAATGCGCTGCCCCCGGGCTATAAAATGGTAGCGTCGCAGCAATTGGTTGGCCTACTTCTACTAATATTCGCATCTCCATCAGTGGCGCCAACGATATCTTCTATCAGTTCCGTGGGTGTAGGCACTGGGTTGATGGGGTACATGGGGAATAAGGGCGGAGTAGCTACGCGAATAGTCGTAGGAGGAACAACTCGACTCGTCTTTGTCAATTGCCATTTAGCGGCCGGTGCAGATAAGGGCAGTTTGGACAGGAGGAACTGGGATGTTGCGCAGATTATCAACCGCACCAAATTCGATCCTCTAGACGAGGAGGATATCTTGGGCGACGACGGTAACACGATCGGCTACGAGGACTTTGCTTTTTGGTTTGGCGACCTTAATTATCGCCTGGACGATATTCCTGGTGACGACGTACGTCGGCTATTACATTTACATACCGGAAATAAGTTCCGTGGGACGAGCTCTCCTCGCATTCCTAATGAAAATGTGCCGCTTTCCCCGTCAACACAGAATAGCAATGGGAATAGTTTTGCTTCTTCTGACCAACTGCCAATAAATACAATATCAAATTCCGGATTTACCGAGCCGCTTATAACATTGGAGGACAATTCTATCATCGAACCGCTTCTTGATCCAATGTCCCTTGAAACTACCCTCGCTTCTCTACTCCCTCATGATCAGCTTCACAGGCAGCAACAGACGGGGAAAGCATTTCAGGACGGTTGGAGAGAGGGAGACATTTCCTTTTTGCCAACCTACAAATACGATATCGGAACCACCGGCACATTTGACTCAAGTGAAAAACAACGTGGACCTAGCTGGTGCGATCGAATCCTGTTTCGGTCACGGCATGATTTTTTAGAATACAAGCGGAAGGTTAAGGAGGCCGAGGAAGCAAAGAAAAGAGATGAGGAAATGAAGGCCCTTGGCTTAGGACAAGGGGAGGAAGATGATAACGTTCTTTTTGACTACGATCCGGATTTAGATGGTGCCAATGATTATGACGAGAATGAAGATACAGTGGAGCCCAGCAGCGCTCCTCATAGTAGTCAGTTGGAGCACATAGACACGATTCAAATGACCTATTATACATCACATCAAGAGATCGTGTCGTCCGACCACAAGCCGTTGGATGCGGAATTTGTCCTTAGTTTTGATGCCGTCGATCCGGGGTTGAAGGCCAAAGTACATCAGGAAGTTGTCCGCGAGTTGGACAAAGCAGAAAACGAGAACCGACCTGGAGTGACAATTGTTGTGGAGAATCAACCAGAGGACAGCAGAGAGGACTACCAGACATCCTCCCTCGCTAACGATCCGAACGCTGTCAACTTTGGTCAGGTACGATACGATGTTCCTGTGTCGCGCAACGTGACGATTGCCAACACAAGCGGAGCCCCGGCGACGTTCGGTTTCTACTATAGCCCATCAGATAATGGAGGAGAAAGTGTTGCAACTCCTTCCTGGCTTCATCTTCGGGTAGACGGGAATCCCGATGCCGATGCCCAACATCCCAAAAGTCGCCCGGAGTACACATTACAACCTGGTGATACGATAAATGTACAGCTGATTCTATGTATATACGATATCAATTATGTTCGGGAGTTAAATAACGGGGAGGCGCAAATCGAGGATGTTTTAATTTTACAGGTCACTAACGGGAGGGATTACTTCATTCCGGTACACGCTACTTGGATTCCGACGTGTTTTGGTTTTTCTCTAGATGAGCTTACACGGATGCCAGAAGATGGAGCCCGCCAGCTTGATATCAAGGCTCAACCACTACGCTCAAGCGAAAATCATGACAAACAGGGTACCCGCGTGTCGGCGCCTCGCGAGCTCTTCAGATTGACAGAGGCGATAGCTGACCTTACAGAACGGGCTGTCGCAGAATGGGGCCAGGTTGGAGATAATAATTTCGAAAATAATCCGCCGCCCTGGGATACCGAGAAAGGAGGGTGGCCGTTCGAAGAGCAAACATGGGGCTTCACAAATAATCACGAACGATATCACCTTCTTTCCCGCGTCCGAGATGCCCTGGATACCAATTCACCCCTTACATCCATATTCCCCCCCGAGCTCCGATCCCAAAATAGAGTTGAACTCCTTGCAGAAACGCTCCTATCATTCCTCAAATCTATCCGCGGCGGCATGATCACCGCCCCACTTTGGCACGAACTAGAACAAATAGTAATAAGCAACGAAAAGTCCAAATCCCCACCATCCACCGAACAATCCCAATCAAGAATCCTCGAAGCTCTGTCCTCCTCCCCCGCTCATAGCGTCTCTTTCACTTTCCTTACTTTCATGCTAAATCGTATCACCAATGAAATTGCCCCTCTTTCAACTCCAGCCGCTCAAACAACGCCGACATCCCCGACAACACCCCTGGAAACCCCATCGATATCTACAGCTTCCCTACCCGGCTCCCCATCATCAACGCCAGTATCTCCTTCTTCAGCCACCTCAAGTTCTGCGACCGCATCCCCACCACTTTCAATTAACCCTCTGTCTAGAACGTTTAGTATCCGCCGAGGGAATCCACTCAACTACTCATCATCCGCCGGAACCCACACTGACACCACGGGTGCTCCTGCTGCTGCTGCTGCCACGGTGGGAGCGAAGCCAACGACCGCGTCCGCAAGGCGCCAAGCAGTCAAGAAGGTGTTTACGAAAATATTTGCAGAAACAATATTTTCGAGTGATATTCCGCGGCCGGAGAAGGATAAAGAGAGGCGACTGTGCGAGGAGAGACGGAGGCGGGTGTTGGAGCCGTTTTTGGAGTGATTCTCCCTGGCGCCGTTTTCTCCGCCTCTTCTTCTTTGCTTTTGCCGGATGGGAATGCTTTCAAGCTATATATCCGCCGTGTTTATTAACAGTTTTCATTTGTATATCCTTGTTTTGTTGCTTCATATTTTCCGGCTCTCGTTTAGAGTCGCTAGTTATGTGTTTGGAGTGATTGCCCTAGATATATATATTATGCGTCCCGAGACGTTCTGAGCTGCATAGAGCAATATACGAAACTACGTTTGACGTTTCATGTTCCCCACAGCAATATATACATGTATACTTACCCAACTTCCATGAAATAAACTCTCAGTTCCAGGTCCCAAAACAGCTTAGCTGAATTCACCTCAAGGATTCCGGACACCTTCCCTATTTCAGTTTAGTTTCCAAACTCTATCCACCAACCTTATATTTCCTGCGCTCAACCTTGCTATGTGATACCAACGATACAAGAGAACTCGCGCACGGCGCAAAAGCTACGGATAGAACTTGCCTTCTTATAGTGAAAAACACAGAGCCTACCTAAAAGGGTGTCTGTCTCTTTTAGATAAAATAAGTTGGAGGGAGGGGTTCTATGTAACACCCTCATAGCCTACAGATGAGAGCTCAATATATCAGCCTTTCTTAGGCCTTGATCTGATCTTGATATGCTAATATGTTAAAATTAAAAGGTAGTACTGTCTGCATGCACACGACGAGGTATATCGAGGAAAATCATTGAGGAATATTGTCAGCTACAGATGCGGGATTTATTCCCTTCTTTCATATCATATCTTCGGCACAACATGGACTTGCTTTGCGTTTGTTAATGTTCATATTCGTACGATGGAGGATAATCTTGTCAAAGCCGTTGATAACGCATTTTCTATACATACACATAACATATTCATGCAAATTTCAAATGAAGCCATGTCTATCTTGCATTCCGTCCACCCCCAATAGCCCCGTGCATCATTCGGTTGCGTGGCATCCATAACGTAGAGGATCCACAGTATACAAGAGAGAAGAGGTAGGTAGGTTCTGGGAGAAATAGAAATAGAGAAATGGGGAAGATAGAGAAATTCCGCCGGCCGGGGTAAAGATTCTGAATAGCTAACTAGCTAGCTTGACTACTTGCTCGATATCAATTGGAACCAGGTGTCTCTTATGGCGCGTTTGACTGTCCATTAAACTGATTGTAAGGTAAAAAGTCATTATAAGGCATGCGAGGCAGTTCCAAGGGGATTGATTGATTGATTGATTGATTGGGAAGGCCCAAAACTCAAATCAAGGGACAAGAGAAGGGGAAAAGAAGAAGAAGGAAATGGTCGGTCCTATGCAATTTCGCTGATGATCGCTCAAAGTTGCTCGACGTAAATATTCCCCGTGAACAAACACGGAATGAAGACACGCTATTATAATTGGAAGGGGAGAAGAGGACGAAAAAAAAGGAAAATATGAAAAGCTGAAAAAAACTTTAGAAATTACAGAATATACCAGAATACAACCTAGTGAAAGTCCCGAAGATACATCCTAAACCAAGCCCAACACGAAATACCCAATGCCTGGGGACCAAAGTCACGACGAAGTTCATGCCGAAGCAAAAAGTGAAAAAAAGGAAAGATGCATGTGACAATAAATAGAAGAGATAACAGGGAAATAAGAATAAAGAGTGATTCCAATCCAGAATTCCAACAGAGAAAGAAGAAAATCCAAAAACAATATAGTTGGGAATAAATAAGAAATAAATAATAAAATAATAAATAATAAATGCTCCGTCCCTATCCTTCCCATCCGTCCAAGAAAGTCAAGCAAATCAATAGAAGACGAGGATGAATCAAAACAAATCGCAAAGCACCCACACATGCACACGCACACGCATCCTAACTTGGAAAAAGGGAAACGTTCCCCCCATAAATAACTTCCTTCCCAAGCCAAGCCAAACACATGAAATAAAAGAAGGTAACTCAGCAAATTAAAGTAGACAAGCAAAAAGTTTAAAGAAAACAAAAAATAAAACAAAAAATAACCGAAAAAACGGGAAAAAACGAGGGACAAGTGGGAAACATAATAAAAAAAATCACAAGGTATTACCATCCATATTTTCCCTCCATTTTTTTCGTCCCCGCCTCCAACCCCCCGATGATAAAACGCAAAAAGATCCCATCTCCAAATGCAATTTCTTGTACAAAAAGAAATGAGGGCGAAAGGGGAAAAAGCGAGTTCGTTCCGTCCCTCTCCCCAACGCCGTCGCAAAACCTCCTGAAAATAAGCGTTGCAACGATCCCCGGTGTCATTCCTGAATATCGCGCGCCGCATCACCCCAAAAGCAAAAGCAAAGAGAAGTAGAGAGAATCAAGTTGAAACGCCCCCGTGTCCGCAAACGAAGAAAACAAATTTAAGTCGTGAAACGCTGTTGTGTTTTTGCCGCTTTTTTTCCCTCAATTAAATGTTTAGTCCTTCAATTTTCCCTCTGACTTAGCCCCAGACGGAAGCCTGGACACCCAATGAGTTCTTGGATCGCCACATGCCGCTTCCATTACCCCAACTCAGGCCGACATGGCCGGAGGATTCGTTCGCTCCAGAGCCAGAGGCTGGGGCAGTGGTTGAGCTGGAAGGGTTGGATGCAGAGGAAGTAGACCGTTCGTTCCCGTTCCCGCCCGTGTTTGTATTGGTGTTCGCGGCCTCGTCTGGAGAAAAACCGTAACCCAAGGGAGAAGGAAGTGGAGTTGTTGAGCGCTTATTCAAAGCTGGGTTACTCGCCTGGTTGCTGGTGGATTGCTGGGGGGCAGGGCGAGACCCAATGGGTCCAACAGATGTAACATTTTGTTTCGAGCCGAGCTGACGAGAGGCGGAATCCGCGTTGCCGCTTCCAGGGGAGGAGGTATGCGGTTGTTGCTGCTGCTGGCCAGGGTTGGTGTCAAAGATACCGTACGAGGTGGGTCCAGAGCTGGGGGAGGCATTGCTGTTGGCTGGTGAGCTGGACTGGGGAACGACAGGAGATGGCCTAGTGTTGGCTCCCGACGTGGACTGGGGAACACTTTCGGAGCTACCCTGCACCTGGGTTTGACCAAGGCCAAAGGGATCTACACCTCTAGGGGAAGGGCCTCTTACCCCTGCGGCAGTGGCAGCAGGATTGCCAGATGATTGATTTTCCTGACGAGAGCCCTGATGCTCCTCAGCCATGCCACCACTGGGGTAGAAATCGGGACTAGCATTGCCATACAAAGAACGGCGCTGGCGTGCAATCCATTCGCGTCGACTTTCTTCGCTCATCGCAGCGGGGCTCATGGAACGATCGGATTTGTTTCCAGACATTTCGGAGGAAAGGCCTTTTTCCAATGAAAACCCACGTTAAGATACAAGTACAAAACCACATGAACATAGATTTTGGCAGAAAGAAGTAACAGGGAATCGTATACAATGCAAAATAGTAATGATAACACATATTGGTCCGAGAAAGAAAAAGGGAATCAGAATGACCAAAAGAAGACAAGAGATATCAAAGAAAGAAAACGAATAGCAACGCTCGTCACGTACGATGGATCTGCTGCTGATGGTGGTATTTGCGGAGTTCTCCCTCTCGCTGTGCTGCCATACGTCGCTTTGCCTGCATCATCTGCTCTACTTCGTTTGGACGACCTTGGTAACGTTGGGCAGCATAGAAACCTTGCACGTTGGATGCAGAGTGGGGCCGGAGTGATTCGTAGTCGCCAATGGAGCTATGGCGCTGGGGCATTACATTCATCATGCGAGCATCTTTAAGACATATTTTAGGATACGAGAACCAAAAGGGAGGGGTTTTTCTTCTCCAAGGCGGGTGAATAAAACATACCATAGTCTGGGTAGGGGCGGTTCATCATCAGAGGTACAGACTCCCGTCGAGGAATAGCATTGAACAATTTCCCGCTTTTCACGAGGTTATCAATGGCGCGATCAACCTCTTTTTGTCTTATCAGTACGTGGTTCCAAAGAAAAATATAGTTAAGGTTTCCCAAAAAGCTTATGTAATGGTTTTCCAGCGTCAACCATTAAAAAAAAGGCAATTTTAAAGAAATTCCATCCATACCATCAAACTGTGATGAAAACGCAGCTGCATCATCGCGCTGGGAGGTAGAGCTGGTGCCTATAGCCATGAGATAATAGTGTTAGAAGATGATCTTCCATCCTCAAAGCCAGCGTGGCGATGCTGACAAACCTGATCGCGAAGGGGGAGCCGGTTGCTCCCAGGATGCTTGGCGCATGGGAGCCTGCCAGCCTTGGGGTTCGTAATATGCCATGATTATCGACCCGGAATGTCTCCAATATGCAAGGGCCAACGACTTGAGCAAGCTTATAGGACGGGCAGTAATGCAGGACCGGTCGAGAAAAAAGGAATGTATGTTCGCTCGGGAGAGTGGATCGTCACGACTTTCTCAGACCTAAAATACAAGAGCACACGGCGGGTAAGCATTTAAAACAGGTAATATCAAGAGGCAACACGCCACATAGAAGGAGGAGTTATGAGATGGAGAACATATAAATCGAGGATTTGAGATTGAAGCAGCGGAGCAATAGGTGAGCTGAAGGAGATGCTGTGGGTTTTAGGTGGATGGGAGCAAATTTAACAGGTTATTATTGCATGGAGTTTGTCATCTCTCCATATATGCCAACTGAAAAATTTCGCATCATTTGGAGTAGCTTAGCGGATTGACACTTTGCATGGAAGAGAAAATATGGGGCAAGCCAGTTTTCACTGGATATATTTGGTGGTACTGGTTGATGGGTGATGGAGTGAAGGCAGGTGACAACTCGTATCCCTGAGGTTCAATATACACTCAACAGTGAGAAGAAAATGGGCTCTACAGGTCATAAACTCACAGTACATACAAAAGGAGTGCGACACTGTGATGTCGAATAGTTGTACCCTTTACATATAACCACTTCACTTCAACCACCCACACGAGTCGATGGGGAGAGGAGTGGAGCCAACAGCGGAACAGGCGAAATAAACTGAAACCCCTGAGACGAACAAGGGAGGGGAGAAATGGAGAGAGCGTGAGAAGAGAGAGCAAGAAGGAGAAGCCAAGAGAAGGGCGGTTGAGTAAGTCGGAGGGGGATGATGATGGAAAAGAGAGAGAGAAGGGAAAAGGAGAGTGGGAGCGAGAGAGAGAGGATGCGAGGATGTGAAGGATGTAAAGGATGTTGAGTGAGGATGGATGAGGGATGAGGGATTGAGGGATGAAGGGTGAGACCTGGCTTGACTGCGAGGCGACGACGAAAAAAAGGCAGCGCCTGGCAGAAAACGGAAAGGCGGGTGCGGTAATCGCTCGTTAGCGGCGGCGCTGGTCGGGTTGGGCCAGTGTCGCCTTGTACTGTAGTTACGTACTGTAGGTAGTTAACTCTGTACCGCCATTATTATTAATTACCACTACCACTACCACTACACGAAAAAATATCACGAAAATAGCAAATGTTTTTGGTTTTTTTTTTTAAAAAAAAAATAAAAATTGGGATGGGATGGGATGGGATGGTCGAACATGATCCGCTTCCTCTAGAAGTTCATGACTCATCTCATAAAAAGTAAAAAGCCAACCTGCTCAGGAGATGAGAATCTTGCCTCTCCGGAGACAAAGGTGGTTGCTCTGAAATTCTACGTACAGTCTGATACGCGCGCGTTACATACATACGTAGGTTTGGTTCATTATTACAGCTCGTACGGTTTCGTTCGATTGCTCTCAAGGTTGCTTCTGTTATTAATAATTCATTCTTCTAATACTTAATTAGTACTTGTCACTCACCGCAGTTGAAATCAAATGATATTTTATTTATCTATGAAGCTGATATGTACATTACTGTCCTAGTTCATAGTTCATCCTCCTTTTGGCCTCCTCCATCTTCTGCCGTGTTCGATACAGCAAGCAAAAACCATGAAACCATCAAAGCTGCCTTTCCCACCCACTCGCTCTCTGCCCCTCCATGCACATTGCGGAGCTTCCTAGAAAGATATCCCCCGCATGAGCCGAAAGCCATCTGCAACCCCAAGCCATTGATTAGGCGGACGCTTCCGCCCATCCGTTGGCCTATCGAATTTGTGGCCTTGATAATAATAATCGCCTCGCTACCCTACCCTACCTGCACCTCCGTCCGTGGTCTGTATGAAAGCTATGATATAAATAAACCTGAGCGAGTGAGTATCTATCTCTCCTCCCTTCTAGATTTCATCAATGTATCTTCCTCATCGCAATAGAAGGAATAAGAGAACATTCATAAACAATACCCCACATTAGAAAATGGAAATAAGCCATCCTCTGCCCCCCACGAACCATAGCTAATTATCTCTTTCACCCCCAAAATAGTGCAGGTCAAATCAGCAGCCTGTACATACATGGATGTACTGTACACCTCCAGCGCCCATTTGGAGAAGACCAAGATCAAGAAGAAGAGTAAGTTAATAAAAGCGGAGTTGGTGCAGGCTAAATACAAATCTAGTTGTTGGTAGGCGTAACACTTGTCCTTCATCCCCCCCCAGTCCCCTTTTTACTCATCTACAGGAATGAAAATCCACCTTTCTAAATCCCCACCCCTCTTTCTCTCTACACGTTTGCCCCCAAAAAATAGAGAATTATTCATCTAGTGGGAGGATTGTAATGTATGTACATGTACATACATATACTGCGGGGAATAGCGCTGCCTGAATTCCAGTCATGTTATTACCTACTTCCCTTGTTAGTTAGTTATTAAGAAAGTCAATGGGTTTATTTATATTTTCTAACCGTTACGAGTAGATATGCCTGAATAATGTCCTTGACTGATGAGAGATGAGAGAATATACTGGTGATAAAGCCCGCAAGTTTATGTACATGTATCTATCTTGCATTGACATTTCTCTGCAAGACTATGGTGAAATAAGATGAGCATATATATAAGCAACTTCTATGCAAATCCTTCTATCCATACGATTTTACCGATGACAGGTGAGGGCCAAGACAATGAAAGCTATTCCCTTCTATCTTCTATAGGAAAAAAAAAAGAAAGAAAAGGAGAAAGAAAAGAAAAAAGGGAAACAGTAGAGAACAAACGAGAAAAGACACTATCAGACTGCTACAATCAAGCTTTTAAATATCACCAACCCAGAAAATATTTCTGAAAACCCTCGAGAAAGAAAAGGAAAACAAGACATAAGCCCCTTACCACCTGTTCCTCTTAACATCATCATATCATCATGCCAATCATCATAATTGACAACCGTATGCGGCCCAATTTCTCCTCCCCCTCCGTGCAATGTGCCGTGATGGCCCATTCCTTCTCCCTTGTTCATGCAGGAGCACAAAATCCGCACGGGCATTTTTAGACATATGAATTATCTTTTCCGGTCTCCACGAGCTCTTTCTCCAAGCCCTTGATGTATGCGTGTATAGTCTTACTCCTGTTCTGGGAGAGGCACACAGACAATATACCAGAACCAGTGCGTCGTAGTTTCGAATCCCTTCTGAATAAACAGGCATCCCACTTTCCTTCATCTTATTGCTTCAGTTCTGGACAGGGACGGAGTTTAGTACTCAGTTTTCGAACGAAGGTAGGCCCTTTCTAAAAAGCATCAATGGAGAAGGAAGAGGTAGGTAAAAAATAACACAGAAAAGAGCCGTTCAAGTACCCTACGATACTTGTGCAACCTCGTTTTTCGAGCTGTTGATGTTCGATTGGAACAGCAGCAGCGGTGCTTTATGAGGGCCAAGGACACGGTCAACAGTTTGGCGGTTGGAAAACACAGAGTGCTTATTGAGTAGGGGATCCGAGGGTGCAGGCGAGAAAGGGGGTGAATTGAGGCGCATATCAAGTGCGACTTCTCCACAGAGAGATAAAAGAAAAATTCCGAGAAATCGCTTTGAGAACACCGAGACAAGTTTTATAGGCTGTTTATACTGAATCTGGTGTATAAGGAAAAGTTGGCACAGGAGATTTCTTCTCTCTTTTATGTCCAGGACGCCGGCCAGCCATCATCAGGTCAGCAATATGCGTACTATGGAGCTTTGGTCTCCTCTGTTCTATTCTTATCATGATTGATTCTGGCTCTGCTCAAATAGCCAGTCTTTTTAGATTGCACTTCACCAGCGCAAAGTTAGCCTATACTATTAGTTATCCCCAGCGCGAGCAGAGAGGCTAGAGAGAGGTGCTCATCAATCACAATGGGGGAAGAAATGTTCCAATCTATGAACTTCACAGATTGGAACTGCCTTGAGTACGGTTAGCAAGGTTTTCTCTCCGATATTATCACCCTGCCGTATATAAGCACATCAGAGCCATTGCTCTCTCAGAGGTCATGAGGGAGCCTCATATTCAGCCATCAACATTTCAAAATCTATTTATATCAAGCTTTGCGACAACCTCTTAGCCGCCGTCCATCCACCGTCCATCCCGCTAAAGCTGCCCAGGCGGTGCTTGGCTTCCTCAGCCCTTTTTAAAAGTCACATTGGATGGGATGGGAAACCTGCAGGGTTAGAGGAGCTTCCTCTTATGGATTAGATGCCCAGAGGTGGTATTCAAGCCGGATGGAATCTACTAAAAGCAGCCAGCACCAACCGAGCGTACACATGAATCAAATATATTATTTGTCAATCTCCAGGCACTGCATCTTTGGACATCAAACAAGAAGCGGAGTTTTGCATTAGTCACAAAACACTTATCCCCAGACCTAGACCTCGAGCCGTCGATGCTGCTGAGGGCTCCGCTGATATACATTATTATTATTGTCTATTTTCTCAGTTACATGGCTTCCGTTTGTCTTCAGAAGAAATGATATGTAGCTTATGTTATTAACCAGACAGTTTGATGATCTTGAAAGACTGCCATGGCTGATTTTGCTTCTGGTACGGTACTGCGTTGAAAATTTCTTCGATTCTGGAAGCCCTAAGTGCTCTGATGTTTTTTTTTTTTTTTTTTTTTTGTCGTTGCCAACCTGTTCGTTCAATCAGTTCACATCATCTTCGATATGAACGAAACAGCCTCTACCACTAAAAACCGAGGTGAAAGATATCCTTTGATTGGATGCATCGAAGTCACTGCAATTAGCAACCGGTTTCAGGTTTCATCCATACCATAACCAAAACGTATTCTGAATAAATATAGATTATTTTTCAAACACAAGCTCGTTGCCGGCTGTATCGTGAGACTAATGGATTCAGCTATACGTATGGCAGTGCCCAGCGATGCCTCACTCGCGTGAGCATCTCATCATTGTTAAAGCCGTATGTGCGTTTGATATCTATTATGGCTGCGGGATGCACAATATAAGTATTGATAGAGACAACATGGATAGTGAGACGTTTCTCACGGCATTTATCAACCCAGGCTGAGGTTCCATAAAACTTTTGACGAAGACTCCTGAAACATGGGATGTCTCGCACCGCCCTGGTGCGATAGCTCCAGCTCACCATGGTCGTCCTTCTCGCTGCTGTCCATTTCATTTGTTGACATAAAAGGACGGGGCGGAAAGGCTTATTTATTTAGCGCCAAGTACTCCGTATGTTTCCCGTCCTGCATTTTGTTCCTCGACGGCTGGGGCTCATAGGACCTAGCACCACACAAACCACAAGATAAAGATAGCGGAGACTCTTGGGGCGGAAATGCTGTCATGAATGGCACTTCTTTACAACCGTGGCGCTTAGAGAGAGTCAACCGGTATCACTGCTCTCATGTCTGAGGGGTGTACTGTATGTACACATGTACACAGGGGCATCTTTGGCCAAGCAAGGTTCTCTGTGTCCAATCACGATTAATCTTTGGGCTGCGGCTCTCGTTGTGAGCCTGTGATAGGCATGCATAGCTAGCTGCCTGCAAGCCAAGGGCGCTCATCCCGCTGATACGTGGGCAAGATTAGCCGCCACGGAAGACTTCGTGGCAAGGCTGTAGGGGCTGATGCTTAGTCGAGCTCCGATCTTTAAATATCTCGAGGCTCACCCGCCCCTGGGGAAGAAAGGTCCTGACTCGATGGAGTCACTGTGAAATTCCTAGGGTATTTGGTGAATTTCACTGGAGAAACGCCCGAGAAAAAAAATGCTTGTGGACGTCACAGAAAAGAGTAAGATGCCAGTTTCAAATCCACTGTATGTAGCAGGCGATTAACCTAAGAAACAGTTGGCGATGTTATATCACGGCGGCAGCAGTCGACGCTGGAGGAGGAGTTGCGCCAGGTAAGCTGCTGAAAGTCAATTGCACTCATTGTTCATGGCCAACTTGTATTTGCACAACTCATATTGACTTCGCCGCAAACAGCAACCTTCTAATTCCGTCCGTATCGCGTAAGTATAGAAATAATTTTTTTTTTTTCATGAACCACCTCTCCTGCTCTTCGTGTCTTACTGACTCAATTTCGCAGCTTTGCCGGCATGAAGAAAGATTGCGAAAAATGGATAGCGAATAACCCAAATGCTATCACAAAACTTCCAATCCCTCATCAGTTTTGGGCCACTTGCACGGAAGATTTGAACGGATGCTCCAATGCCATATATTCCCATGGTGGTTACGGAGAGCTTGTAAACCTTGGTAGGTGCTGCCTCGAGGAAATTCCTAACTCATCACTGAACTCATAAGCTAACAACTGGTAGATACATGGTCTTGCTTCAAGCTCAAAGAAGCCTCCAGCGACAAGAAATATGTTTGGTATCAAATGACAATGTTCATCAGATGGAACCCGATTAAACAAACTACTTTTATCTTTTGTTCGGACTTCCTCCAATGCCTGCGAGACGGATTGAACCGTCGTATATCTTCCGTCGGCCCAAGTGACCCATTTACCTGGCACGCTTCTTTTGTTGACGAGCTTCGGTTGTTATACGATAATTTTTTTTGGAAGTTCCGGAATTTAGTCCGCGATGCAGAGAAGGTGACCACCGACATTTTATTTTAATCTTCTATTTTCATCTTCCGTCCTTCTTAAAAAAACTAATTTTACGCAGGAACGAAACGAGCCCCAGGCGACCGGGCCCAATTTCCCAAGACTTCACGATATTGCAAGACATGTGATTCACTCAGTTGAAATTCTTGATGTTGCGATAGAGACAGTGGACAGCATCCTCCACGAACATGACCTATTTATCTCAAATGAAGGGAGCACTGTCGCTTTCCCAATACCAGATTTAAAAGCAAACGACGTTACGCGACGCCTGTACTATCATTCTAGGGAACTTCGTGCGATTAAAGCACGATCCGCATCTCTATACGATCGACTAAAGAATGAAATTAGCCTTGTGAGATCCCTCTTTTATGGAACGTTGTGATGGCGATGATGTATTGCTCACCTCAATCTATCGCATTGTAGTCATTCAACCTCGTCTCGCAAACAGACACGGCCGCAATGAAAATTATATCCGCCGTAGGCTTGATTTTTCTCCCCGGAACATTCATATCGGCAAGTCTCACTAGCACCTATGTTTATTATGTTCAACCGTTTAACGTGTGAACACCGCAGACTCTATTTGGCATGAACTTCTTCGATTTCTCCGTTGACGAAGACACGGGGAAACAAACTTTTGCCATGTCAGATAAATTTTGGGTTTACTGGGCAATATCGCTTCCAGTGACCGCGGCAGTTTTACTGGCTTGGGTCCTTTACGATTACTCGTACTTGATAACCAGCAAGATCAAAAAACCATTATTGGAAGATTCCAAATTCAAGGAGATATTGAAGCTTGGATCGTTTTTCAGGAGAAAGGAAAAACAGTCCGATGCGAATTCGCCGACGTAGCACAGAGGAGAGAGATTGCAACTCTGTGCTTCTATGGCCTCCAGATCGGTAAAGGAGGCTGCGATCGGTATGAATAGTATCACATCAATCTGGAGGCCCGAGAACCCCGACTGGCCCAGATATTTGCTAAAAACTGTCACCATTTGGATTTCGAGAAAAAAAATAAAAAATAAATAAAAAATAAAAAATAAAAAAAAGACCAAAGAAAGAAAGAACAAAGATCGAAGTTGGATAATGCAAGAGCGCCCAAATTTTGGAGTGATGTACAACGACTATATATGACAAGCGGATTACATGGAAGCGAATATTTATTTTTTCTTCTTGGATATTCTACGGAAGCGGGAATTTGACCAATTTTATTCTGATTTTGGATGTCAATTATTTATCTATCTTGAGGGTTAAGCATTTATCTGAAATCTAATATTGTCCTCGACTTTTCCGGCCATGTTAACATGCACCAAATTGTACTTGTACTCTGCATGTGCAATACATCAGTTCAAAATTTATCAGAGAAGACATGCCATAATATAAGCACATGGAAGCATTTTCTGTGAATTAAAATTCTGCCCTATAGAAAGTTTCAGCTCCTTTCTTGGAAAGATAGGGGTAATTTGTTTTCTATCACAGCTGCGACATTAAAAAACTGTGTGAACCAGACTTGGTTCATGCAAATAATAATTCAGTATTATTAGACACCGTGAGCTCACCTCATCATTGACAACTGCTGTTTAAATATACAACTGCACTCCTAGAGGATAGAACTCATTTTCGCTACCGTTGCTAGGTGAACAACGCGGGAGCATCCATACATACTATTTGTTGAATGGAACATTGGCCAGGATAACATGAGATAGTGGTTCCGATGGTTTTGCTAATAGTAGCTTCTCTCAGGAGAGCTCCCGGAGAGGGCATATTCTTAAGGCCAGCTCCTTACTTTCTCCGAAGCTGCAGAGATCCCTGAATTGGTGGGGTTAAAGCTATGGCAGCCTGTTGGATATGGATCAATGAGTGCTTGAATTATTAGTTCTTCATACCTTTTCGCCTTGTGGTTCGCTAAAAAGTTTTCACAATGTTTCATGGAAAGGACTTACATCTTTCTGCGAACTCTAACATCACTATTGACTCTGTATACCTATTTGCCCTCTTTGTGACCTTGTGGTATTTGACATTCTGTGGCAATAGCAAGAGGAGTTCGCCAGGACATGCGGATTACATTCTAGGTTATGAACCACCTGTGCATATCCTCATGGAATGACTGAAAGCTTTTGTATTGCTGTCAACGCACACGAGGGTGTTTCCAGGTTTAAACTGGGACAAGTTGCTGTGATATGGTGCCGAGTACCAGAGTAGCAGCACTACCTATCGTTTGCCTAAAAGAAAAAGGATATGATAGAGCCATCCGGGACTGCTACATACGGACTCCAGGCCGAGTTTTAGTTATCGGAAGAGGAGGCGTTGACAAAAGCGCAGGAATGGCCTATCGGCAGGTTTCCACTCGGTTGAAAGCTGTAGTAAGAAAGGCTTGAAATCTTAACGCTTTGTTTCTATGCGATAGTACATACGTTGATGGATGACGGGCGTAGCTTTCGGGAACCCAGCTACCTCCGGGAGCAAGTTGTGAGATGGATGAGCCCGTCCCTTCCCTAGTAATGACATGATCCCGACGGACACACAAATTTTCCAAGGACATTTGCATAAGATGCATACCAAGAACGAAAACAATGACTCCGCTCCTGCATGGCATCGTGTGATCTTTGTCGAGGTAGTGTGCTAATCGGGGACTCCCTAAAGATCTGATAGTAGATCGCGATAGGTGATTTCTTGATACGCCCTGGGCAGATATATTTCATCAGACCCCAGTCTCCTTATCCTTCACACATCGGCTTATCGCTTGTCATGTTTCAGCGAACGGACAGACAAACAGATCGTATCAAACCGTGGAAACAGCCTTTCGATCCCTGCTATAGGTAGGTCATATAGTAGATCACTTCAGGAGGCTATTGCAGCCCCTGACGGATGAAAGAGAAGATTTGAAAACCATATCACATTGAAGAACTATCATATACTATGATTGAGAAGCCGGGTTCCCTTGCCGGGACCTAACACAAGCCGAAGAAAGAGAATCCCATATTTACCGGGTAGAGTAATAATCTAAGTGCCCATGAGCCGACTGTAGGGAGATGAGTGGCCATTGTCGCATTTAAGACTTCCCCTGCCTCGGACTGCGGGGTGAAAACCAACGCCTGACGTCGTCTCAACGAAGTTTTCCTGCAAAATCTGGGGAACAGCAGGTCATTCGTGGATCGGATTTCCTCGGGCTGCAGGCATCGAGGACCCTGGAGGATCGTCGTACACGGCCAGTGTGGGAGAGCCAGCCATCATGTCAGGGACCCGTTCAGGAACAAGATCGAACGAGCGAACCGACGAACCAGAAGCGAAGGGTTCCTGACGACGACGTAGCTGCGCGAGTGTTGACGATATAACCTGGCTCAGAGAAGGAAGAAGTGATGTGATTGATACGCTTTCTTCCGGCGATTTTCAAATCTCAACGGGTCATTGCAAGCATGCATCTAGGTGTTGGCATGTATAAGTCTTGTTTGCTGCTAGTCGGTGTTGCTCGAGTACCCCTATTCAGTTAGTTAGATCTCCGTTTAAATAGACATTCGTGAATGATAAAGAATCCACACCGGACTGGTATATGATACCTACAATGCTTTAGTATTCTCCAGGTACTTTGCTGAACATTCTACATGGCTACAACCGCGAGAGAATCTTTCAGAGAAACGAAACACACTGCTGAAAACAAACAAGAACCATTCTCCATGTGAAGAAAAAAGAAAGCTTAAACACACCTTATGCCTCATGAAACAAAGCATAAAAAGGGTACTCTTGTTGTTGATACCTCCTCTTTGTTCTGTTTCCTCCCTCCTTCTATTATTCTTTCCTTTCGAGGCCCTCCCTGTTGGTGCGCAGTGCTTGATTGGACTGCGAGCTGATGCGCCACTGATTCATGATCTATTTGCTCAGCGCTCTTGTCTGAGAGCAAAAGGAGATTCATTTGTGGAATTACCTGGATGGTTGAGGCAAAGGCAAGCCACTGTTCCTCTTTTGTTTCTCCCCTAGGAGGATTCTACTTTGCAAATCGCCATTTATTGTTTAATATTTTTTTATATATTTTTTATATTTTATATATTTTTTATATTTTATATATTTTATAGTTTTTATAATTTATTGTGAAGGCACAGGAAGTCATACAAAACCCATACATGAATAAAGCCTTGGAGCTCTTTGGAGATGGGAGACGGTTGTGTGGGGAAGAGTCCCCAATGAATGGCAATGTTACTAATAATGTACACAGTACGCTGCAACCCCGGGGGGGTGATCGTGAACAAGCCATTGTGTCTCGCACCGTCGTACAGCCAGAAGTCTTGGGTGCGTTTCATGTACCATTTTGTCTGTAGGATGGGTTTAAAAGGGAGGTTTGGCCTGGGAGTTAACTGGCCGTCATGGAAAAAACACGAAGAAACTCTTGAACCAGCTGGATTTATTTTTTCTGGGGTAGTGACCGCGCTAGAGAAGTTGCTGAAAGCGGCGTCAAAGTTACAAGTTCTTAACGACCTAACCTATGTATGCTTCGTGTCCGTTGTTGGTTTAAATAACACCATTGATTAGAGTTTCGAGTTTCGAAGACGGGGTTCATGGAAATACTCATAGCGTGTGTACAGTTCCTCAGGCGGATCTGTATCATCATCAAGCTTTTGCTAAAATGTTCATGCTCATTCTGCTGCAGGTGGCTCGCTAGATATATTGTTCATTCTTCACACAGGGAGATCAAACGACGGAGTATATATATCTTGTCCGGTACATTGGGTACAGGGCCCAAAATTAAACATTTAGGCAGAGCCATGGCTCGCGGGAGTTTATATACGGAAGAATAGGTCAATGAATCATAACGGGTGCGGAAACGTGAAGCCAAACCATCCCATCCGGTCCAGGAGCTATCATGCTTGACGTAGTTATCTTTTCAGAGCGATCTTTTCCTCCTTTTCTTTTTCTGTTAAATTGTCAACTGATCCACGATCGCGTAGTTTAGCAGTTGAGAGTTGCAATTGGGCCTGAGCATTAACATTGAAAGTGTTGCTGGAGATTGCCCACATGTCACAGCGCCATGTCTGCCAATTGGTTGATGTCTGGCGAGCAAAAGCAAAGAGTGAGGTGGTGGGCGCCAGATAATTTATTAATGACGCCCATTGGAAGCCAGCAGGGGCATCAGAATGTGGACAATGCAGTATAAACGTTGCGTATGTAAATCAAAAGCAGCATCCAGGGACACAGGGAAGCGGGAAGCGGATTCTCTTTTTTCTGAACGGAAATCGAATGAGAATTATAGGGGCCAAAGCTATTCCGTTATGAATGAATGCAACAGTGAGGGACGTAGGCAAGAGATGGTACAGTACGCACACAAACCTGTAGGTAGTTAGCTACCAATATCAGAATTTCATTTTAGGTATGATTGGTCATAGACTCGGCATACAGAACCCTTCTTCTTGTCGTACCTACCTGGGGCTGCAGCTGCAATCCAGTAGTGAGAACCGCTGCAAGGGCGGCCACAGGCGAAGAACGGCACTGTACATGTACATACATACAGTACATACATTGTTCGCCTTAAGCAAGAGCTAGCTCTTTCGCTCCTATATACCGACAAGCCTGCTCTTGCATTGATTAACCCCCCCCGGTCTATAACCATCATTGGAATCCGTTGAGATGTGACCATGGCTCGTTGCAAGGTTTCGACAGCGTTTTAGATCAATACCTAGCTGTACGGAAGGGTACTTTGGATTGCGTTGAATCTGGGAAGGTGCGGAGGTATTCCCCTTGGCTGACCATACCGTACCGTACCATACCGCATTTCCCTACGATCTGTCCTGCCCCGACAGCCCGAAGTGATTTAGCGCGACTGGTTCTTTCAGTCTGGTCGTCACACTTTTCCGCGCTTTCTCTTCTTCCTCCAACAGCGGACGCCCCGTACCATACCACCAATACCATACCACTGATACGAGGCGTAATAAACATACATTCATTCAATTTGATCAATCAGCCTCCATACAACCATCCCTCAACCTCCATCGTCCTCCTTCGACGCCGCCATTCTATACTCCTTTCCAGCCCTCCAGCCTCCCTATCACTGTCTACTGCCCATATCACCGTATACACGCCTTGTTGCCATCGCTCTTTCGCATCTTCCTGTTCCTGATCCCTTGTGCACAATTCCTACGCCATCTTGGCTGCCGATCGACGGCCCCTTCGAGTCCCTCCCCGTTGCGTTGCCCTACTCCTATAGTAGTGGAATAACGTCCATTTTAACCCTCAGGTTCTCGACCGGGTAAAAACCTGTCTAGCTACATTTATTTTGTGGCAGCAACCAGATATATCGGCAAAAGGGCGTGGTCGGATTTTCACAGCCACTCACCGGTCTTCTCATTGATATATCGGACGGGCCCTCCCCCCATCCCCGCGAACCCAATTAGGGGCTGCAACTCCTACTTTACGTTCGACTATACCAGGGCATTGATTTGATCTTTGAACGGAAGGCCAACATTGACACTGGCTGTCAGACCTTCTGGTGACCTGGACGTGTTGAAGCAGTATTTCACAGGACCCTCGCTATCTCTCACCCTCACCCCCCTCGCAGGAAGTCGCTCTGGTGCATTCCCACGATACTTATATAACCTCCTGCCTAAAACCCAATATATATCGAACTCGGCGAATTATATCCTCGTTTCTGATTTTCCGGGGGAAATTCTATCTTCGCGTTTCTTCTGCGGGCCACCTAGTGACCGTTTTCTCTACATCTCTGCGTTATCGGGGCCAGTCTGGGACCGAAAACAATCTCTCCGAAGCTTGGATTCCTTGTTGTTTGAGGCTTGTGGGACATTACTTGGGGGAGTGGATAGCTTGGCTGATACCGTTGCGGTCCCCTTATGAAATCACGTATCTATGGGAATGCCGGTTCATCTCACATCACAGGTGACGTCTCACCGATAGCGTCTAATACGTCTTCCGAAATGGCGTGGGCCATCCCCGCCGACCTTTCGCGACACATTCCTCTCAAATCCTCTTTTACTTCGCAACACTCGAGCTCATTGCCGTCTACTCCTTATCACCACCCTCGCGACCTCCAGTTCGTCTCGAGATCCCCTTCACCGAACCGCAGGAGCAGTTCTCCACGATCTACCCACTCAGAGTCTACGCACTTACTCCCATCACTACGACGGCCCTATGGAGGTTGTAAATATGAGACTGGGATGGCCCATTTCCGGCGGCGGATTCCGTATTCGCTGGGGAGCGAACTCTTACCCAGGGAATCGGGTCCGCTCAAGGAACAGCTGGATCCCGCTGACGAGAAAAAGCTCTCTGGCGATATGAGAGAACTTTATCATAGGTTGCTGCCGTCTGAGGAAAGCGAACAGAGACGGTCAAAGTTTGTGAACAAGCTGGAAAAATTGCTGAATAAACAATGGCCGGGGAACAACATTCGAGTTCATGTGTTTGGATCATCTGGAAACAAGCTCTGTTCAAGTGATTCCGATGGTAAGGATTTGCGAGGACGGAAATAATGAATGCAGTTGACTAATTTTTCCATTACCCTAGTTGACATTTGCATTACTACAACCTACAAGGAGCTTGAGAAGGTTTGCATACTGGCTGACTTTCTTGCTAAAAGTATGAACTGGACCCTAGATGATTTTCCCTGGCATTACATCAGCTGACACTTCTCTCCAGGTGGCATGGAACGAGTTGTTTGCGTTTCTCATGCAAGAGTTCCGATTGTGAAAATCTGGGATCCCGAACTGCGATTGGCATGCGATATGAACGTCAACAACACCCTTGCTCTCGAGAATACTCGAATGATCCGAACATATGTTGAGATCGATGAACGAGTACGACCCTTAGCAATGATTGTTAAGTACTGGACTAAAAGACGGATACTGAATGATGCCGGTAAGTCGTTCTTAGCGGATAGGCCCTACTTGTTGGCACGTTACTGACTCGATATCTCTTCAGCTCTTGGTGGAACTCTGAGTTCTTATACATGGATATGTCTGATAATCAACTTTCTCCAAACGAGGACTATCCCCATCTTACCTAGTTTACAAGAAAGATGTGCCAAAAATACTAACGATACAGGTGGTTCGGGTTCGTCGTTTGACGATGACCTCGAAAAGCTTGCTGGATTCGGGAAGGAGAACAAATCGACCTTGGGCCAACTTCTCTTCCAGTTTTTTCGGTATTATGGGCATGAAATTGATTATGAAACAAAAGTCATGTCAGTCCGGAAGGGTACGTTGATATCGAAAGAAGGGAAAGGCTGGCATCTTCTACAGAATAATCGCCTCTGTGTGGAGGAGCCGTTCAATACATCGCGGAATCTTGGCAATACCGCAGATGATACCTCTTTCCGTGGATTGCATCTGGAATTACGGCGGGCGTTTATTGCGGTATCTGAGGGGAAATTGGACGAGTGCTGTGAGCAATATGAGTATCCTCCTGAGGAAGAACGCAATTGGGAAAGACCGCCACCTCAGCCACGACCAATACTCGCACCTACTCCTGCTATTTCTTCGCGCGGAGGCAGAGGGGGAGGCAGAGGAGGTCGCCATAATACTCACTATAATCGGGGACAAAACACTGGCCGCCGGCCCTCAAGCAGTGCGAACCGCCCTAACAACGCTCGACATACAAATCCATCATTCGCAGCAGATATTGCACTCCAAGCCCAACAGGCACAGCAGGCGCAGTACTTACTCCATGACCATCTTTATCAGCAAATACAAATCCTGCAAGCTCAAGAGCAGGAGTTGCGAATGCAACTTCAAAATCAAGCGCTCATTAGTGGCAGGCCACCTCCAACCCTACTTCGACAGCCGTATCTGCAGTTTCCGTTTCAACAGCAAGACCCATCTGGTCCAGATGAAAATTCAAGAGCCCGAGCCGGAACTGTAAATCACCCGCCTTTAAGCGCGCCTGTTCGGCAGCACGTATTTTATAACCCTTCTTTCATTCCAATATCCCTTCCCACTCCCCAGGGAACCAACACAGACCCACCATCTCCCTCCATGGCTGCGGCCCCTTCTGACGCTCGTCGTAATCATCGACGATCCTCGGTTGCGAATGGTTCCCCTCGCGGATCGCTGCGAGCTCAATCCCAACCTGCACGGCCTTTACAATCTCCAGTGGTACAAAACTTTGGTGGCATATATCAGTCCGTACCTCCGGGTGAAGCTCCTCATACGCCAATCTCAAGACTGCCACCAGCTTCTCCAAAGAGGGCAGGTGCTGAACCCGAAGCACCTATCACAAACGGCATTCCTATGTTTGCAAGACCGTATATGGACGAAAATCGAGCCTCAGAGTACGTTGGCTATTATTTAGGAGATTCCCCTCAATCTCAGACAACCCTTAATCTTCCAATGACATCTCCCCATTCTATAGCCACCGGGTTGGCAATCCAAAACAGCGGACTGTTCTCACACCTCCGGAATCAAGCGGAGTATCATCATACCGTGAGGACTTCTACTGAAAAGACCAGCCCCCCCACGGAATATGCCCACGTGCCTGACCATAGCAGGCGTTCAAAAAATAATCAACCCTGCGGTCGACCCAAGTCCCAAAAGGATCGAGGTCCGCTCATCGTTGATGGCTCCATCCCGATCGGCGACCGCCACAACTCGTTGCCAACAGAAAATCAAGATCATTTCGTGCCCATGAGTCTCAGCACTTCGGCATCCGAAGATAGGCCGTTTGATACTCCTGGTAGTGCATCAGACACACTCTCCCAAGGGTTGCCAGACCATGTCCCCTTTGATGAGGAATATGAAAAGGCCCTCGGACGGGGTGGACAAGCTAATCAATCGCAACCTCATATGAACGGTTGGGATTCTACCAGTACTAAGGGTGCTTCGCTAAATGGTCACCTCACCTTGTCAGAAAGGCTCCAAAGACATCAAATATCCGATACCGGCCGCTCACCGGATTCACACGGGAAGATGAAAATGAATCATTACAAGGGGCCAAAACAATACACATATAGTGCGGAAAGTCGACTGCTTGAAAAAGAGCACCATGGTCCATATGATAACTTTATCCAGTCAGCTAATCCCTTGTCTGCTCTCTCCCCGGTAAAAGAAACGCGAACTGCTTCACCAACTACAAAACGACGAGCAAATGGCGTAGATTCTGAAAAAACCAATGGATCGAGCCACAGGAACAGACAGCGGGGACGCCATGATTCTGTCAGCACTCACCATCAGTCAGACAATAACAAAGAGAAGCAGACGGATGCCCACCATCGAAAACCCAATGGCGTGCCATCATCTACTAATGGAGCCGGTGGAAACGAGCATCATCACCATGCTGGATCAGGCTCTACTGGTTGGCAAATGACGAAGAAGAAGAACAAAAAGGGGAACAAAGCCACTGCAGAACCAGCACATAACCTTTCCAATGGCGTCGAGCCTCTCCCAACTGATGTGTCATTGAGGAAAGGTGGCTGATGTGGGACAAATATTTTATTTCAGCTGCGGGTCATTGCGACCTCACTCCAGATTATGATGTGGATGTGATTTTATGATTATTATCGCCAGGGTGGCTCTGTTTTCACCCGCAAACTTAACCGCCATTTTTTACTTTGCGCTTGCTCCTTAAGAGTCACTGCCAATGCGCTGTACGATACCTTGAAAAGAAACAGCTAAATGTCGGCTTCCCAAAAAAGATGCCACCCAATGACTTGCTCATACGGCTTCGCCTCAGATGAGGAGGCTCATTTTATTTCATCAACCTCACTCGACGGTATGAGGCCTCTACGAAGCGGCTCTTGAAGGCAAGACGTGATATCAACCACCTTTCTACGCATGTCATGTGGCCGTGCAGCTTTATGTCGTATCCATCCACGTGTATCAATACGCCGCTGGAGTGTGATTTATCTTATGAGCAAAAAAAGGCAACAAAACACTTTAGTAGTGATATCCTACCATCGGCTCACCGCCACGGTCGCGTTAGTCGACCAGAAGGAGGATTACTTGTGTAGGATGCTTCAAAGGAGAACAAGAAGGATAATGGTCGCAAAGAGAGCAGAGTTCACGAAGATAGCAAGGAGAAATGCAAAGGAAGGATCAGGAATGGAAAATAAAATATCTCTGGGAGAAATTACCTCGGTTGTCTTTTTGCCTTTTTTTTTTTTTTCTTTTTTTTACACTTTCCATAACTATACATTTCCCTCTTTCTGCACAGTCATGAAACGAGTGCGTTTTTTGTTGAGATCTTTTTTGGCATGTTTTTTTTTTTTTTTTTTCCTTTTTAGTTTGCAAGAAAAGAGCCGAAGAAATGATATTTTCCTTTCATTTTTCTTTGTCTATTCAGATGTGGGAGGTTTTTTCTTTTCTTTTTTTTAACTTCCCCCTTTCGAAGAAATTTCTTGATGTCCTTTTACTGCAACCTTTATTTTTCCCACTGCTCTTCAGGGTCGGATTCCCCCCTTCTTGTCCTTAATCCCCTGTTCCGTTTTTGCTCTTTAGTACCGTACATTATTCATATCTCATACCGGTGTCCTCTTTGCGTTTGAAAACATGACTTACTTTTACCATATTACATTGCGCATTAGTCATGATTATCCAGTTCCATTTCAATGTTCCTGATTGATTGTTCTTGTGTCAGCGTGTGTCTTATCTGCTTCCTTGTCGGATATTCTTTGTCCTTTTTTTTGCTCCTTTTCAAGTTGGATTTTACAGGTATCATTGTTTGTCATTCATCACTCGGCCTATCAGTATCAAAATTGCTTGTTACACCTGTATGGCTTTTTTATTTTTTATACTATTTTCTATCTTCATTCTGCTATGTTTCTATGTCATCACTTAACTTGCTTAAATTGTTTGGTTTCTACTGTTACCACTCTGCATCATCATTATATAAAGATTACCGTGGGGGGGGGTTTCATTTTCCCTCCGTTGTGTGTGTTCTTTAATTTTCTCCAGTTGTTTTAACATTATTCTATTCCGAATTTTTTTATTTTTATTTTTTTTTCAAACTTTCTAGTAGTTACGAAGAATACAACAATACAATTATTAAAACTATAAATTGACAAAGTCCTAAAATTTATTATTTATTTCTCCTTTGATTTCCTCTCTACTCTCTAGGAGACTTTTACATATATACATGCAAGTCCTCTATTCTCTAACGAAGGAGTAGAGGAAGCCTCGGATAGTATGTTACAAGGTGAACACGAAGTGAATTGAAGGAAGGAACGAAGGGTTGTATAAATTACTCAAGGACTCAGATTTACAATATTCCATTGTATCACAACAAAGGTCAAGAGATTGAGATAATACATAAGCGCCGTCGTATTTGAATACCCGGGGTGCATTAATGAGGTTTATTATCGTAACATAATGGCGAACACATCCGGGCTAGAGGTTTATGGCTTAAGTACAATCGTAGATAGGAGACTCGGAAAAAAAGGAAAGAAAAGAAAAGAACAGAAAAGAGAAAAGGACGGAGAAGGAGAGGGGGGGGGTAGATCTTTAAATAATACATGGTGTGAATAAACAGGGAAAAAAAGGGGGGGGGAATATGAATAGAAAAGATGCAAGTCATTAAACAAGATATGGCAGCGTAGGCTAAGTTGGACACGAAAAAAACAAGCCCGAAAACTCGGGTGCATCCTGCAAAGTGGACTATGTTGATGGCGATCAAGAGAAAGGCGGGATTAGAGGGGTTTATATGGGTGTAAACATGGTCCACACTCACGCACCGAAAACTGGCTACAGCAATGGAATATACAGTTACATGTACAGAAATCTCCAAGGGGCTTAAAGCATGTTTCAAGAACAAGAATGTTGCAAAGATGATTGAGCGAGACGGTCTATCTCTTTCTGGTCGTTGCAAGGGATATTGGGAAAAGGTCAATCACACACTCGAGGTCCTATACAGAGATCTAACGCTCCGTTCTCTTCTCAAGTAGCCTTTATTCTATTTGCTTTTTTTTCTTAACTTCGAACCTCAGCGAAAATGTATGGGAAAATAACTCGACAAGCTGTCCAGAAGACGATAAAACATTCGAAGAAAGTTACGGGGAATATGTAGGCTGGTTGGCTGCGGGCGAAATCCCATATCGAGAGGAAAGCGACGGAGTAGAAATGTCGAAGGAGAACCCATGGGCGTGGGGTGACACCTGCAAGGAGGGCGATGGGCCCGTCTACCAGACCCATTTGCAAGTAGCGGAAGCAGCCTAGTTGGAGGGCTTTGAGGTAGGGGTCTGTATAAAAGATGGGTAGGTTAAGAGCGAGAATTGATACCTCTACTTAAGCGTCCAGAGAAATAGGGTCCAGGGAAAGTGAAAAAAGTGCGTACGGAGAAAGGAAGTAACATACCATTTGCAGCGTAGAGGCTGTATAATGCTTGCGCCAGGATGTTAATGACGCTTGTCAGTCCCTTCCGTTCCCAGTGGAACTTGGACATTTGTTTCAGGACTTGTTGTTTATTGGTGAAATCGGGGACGTTTTCGGGGCTGAGGAGGGTGCGGAGAAGGACAACGTCGTTGAACGCAACCGTCATTCCACCTCCTGTCAATGGGTGTCGCATATTCAACGAATCGCCCAGAAATACTAGGCCGGGCGTCTTGTTTGTGGTAGAGGGAAGGAAAGAATTGGGCATGGACCGCAGACCGCCTTTCTCTAGTGCTTTCGCGAAGGATGGCTGCACGCATTTGGGGAGGGAGGGGAGGACAACACTTCGTAAATGGCCCTTGACGCCGCCGTTCTGTACCGATGCGGAGGGTAGGTTTTCAGGAATGTCGACTAATATTCTCGTCTCACGTGTACCGATCTGATATAGAAGGACAGGAGGGCCATCCGGTAACACGACATGGCCAAAATTCTTCCGAGGAAGCTCTGCGTCTATGAGCTCCAGGCCCCAGAATTTCGACTTCACTCGAGGTGTTGTAGGCAGGTATTGTTTGCGGAACTTGGAAGCGTATCCATCCGCAATGAAAGTCAATGGGGCAAAGAAGTAATCCTTCTGCCCATCGGTGGTGCATTGGACACCCAGCACCTCATTATCTGTCGATGAATGGATGACCGAGACAGCCGTAGTTTCAACAATGGTGACATTAGGCGTCACCCTCGCCGACTCGCGTAGGCGCATGATGAAGCGGCCATGGTGAAAAGAGCGACCTTTGAACGGCGCGCCTTGCTCATCCTTAGGATACAGGATAGGCACCTCAGTCCCATGATAGATCACGTTCATGCCATGGCACTCAATGGCATCGATATCCTCCAAACAATGGCCCAACCCCAGCTTCTCCAGCGCTCGCACGCCTCCCGGTTGTAATAGCTCGCCAACGATGCGGTCTGGTTCTTTCAACGACCTCTCCAGGAGAAGCACGCTGCGCCCTTGTTTTCCCAATGTGACGGCTAGTGCACAGCCAGCAATTCCAGCGCCCACTATCACAACGTCTGCCTCATGGTGCTCGCATCGCCGCCGCTCGCCTTCGTCCGAGTAAACTCTAGGGGTCTTGAGGACGCCGTTGCCGTTAGGTAATCGGGGAGGTATGGCCATGCTGCTTGGATCGCGAACGATCGAACGTTTATCTGCGCGAGGTGAAGCTGAAAAGGTATATTAGCAGCGTGTAATGATGGGGAGCCGAAACGGCATAATTTCTGGAGGTAGATATAGGGGGTTGCGGGCGAGGAATCGGAGAATTGAGGACGAGAATAGATTTATTTGTCTTGGAAGGACTCTTGCTGGGGACGAAACTTCCGCCTAAACATTGTGACAGGGGCAGGCTGCGGGCTGTGATTGGCGGAAGGGCCTTTAAAACAGGATAGGAACGATTAGTCATGGGCTTGGCACAAAGAGTGGCGTGACTTACAAGCATGTGATTGTTCGATTGTCATTTTGCTAGCGGAAAACCAAATTCTTTTGTTGCTGCGGGACGGGACTCGTACGACTGGTGGTTGCCACCGCCGCCATGCTAATTTTGCTAACAATAGAAAATCTTGACAGGGCTGCAAATAATACCGTAAAGGAGTCAGGAGGGAAATCTAGAGCCTATGAACATTTATTTATTGCAATATCAAACTAAGAAGGGTCACATCATGGGAAAGTAATCTAGCCTTTCTGGTGACAACATATCGTACGTTAGTTGAAGCACCCGCCTGCTATTTTCTGACAGGCCCAGTGCAGCGGAAGCTATGAGGCTCAGCCGGCCACTAGTTCCTGCATTAAAGAACAAGAAGAGAGAAGAGAGGCAAAAGAAGAAAACCCGCAACCTTGCATACTAGTACATGTACATACATAGGAAAATAGACATGAAAGAGTAGATATATAAAAAGAAAGGGCCATTACCAACGCCAGGATAGTTACTCTGACAATATACAGGAAAAGGAAAAGAGGAGGCTCATACGACACCCGGCCGCACTGATTCCTCCGCCAATGGTTCTCCAAAAGGATCCTCCGCTCCGTCCGCGAAGACGCCCTTTTCACTCCAATCCCCTTCCTCAGCCGCATCCGGCGAGAAACATTTCTCCAATTCCGCCCGTTCCTTCCAGTTCCTGACAATGTAATCCGTGTATAGCAAGTCCTCAAATTTATACCCCTGGAGCCGTGGCCCCTTCTCCGAGCCGTTACCAGAGCCACCGGTCGCATCAGGTGCCCGGATATTATCCTTCAGTACTTCAATGGCTTCCGGGAACGAAATAAAGCGATCTGGCCCGAACTTCCTAGCCTTGAATGTGTGGCGTAGAATCCGTGCCAATTTTGCGATATGCTCTATCTCCCGATCGAAGCTTTCTCTAGTGTATTTGCTTGGCAGGGGAAAGTAATCCTTCGATTTTGAAACCATGAAACTGATCTCGTCGCAAAGGGCACGGTTGACTGCGGAATGTCGTTTGAGCCCTGTAAATATCGCCCATCTAACACCCTCGAAGTTGCCCGTGCGATAAAATGCCCGGGCGATGAATTTTATCGCAACAGGATCGAATGGCGCGAAGGCGGTGTATTTTGATTTGTTGATTGTCCGGAACAGTTCGAGCACTGCATCATTATTGCCGATATCGAGGAGTCGAGCTGCGATGGTGGATGCCACGTGGTGCTTAACGGGCATGAGTTTCTGTTGTCGGATGTGGTAGTAGTTCAAGACTGCCATTTTAACTGCTTCTATCTCGTCCATTTCGCTTGCTCGCATTATGGCCTGGAAGAATTGCGATGTAACAGGCTTACCGGGGAGCTGAATGGTGTCGAATTCTTGTAGAATTGCCTTCGCATCCCGTGTATCGCCGTGGAGTAGAATGCTGGCAGTAACGGCCAAATCCAGGTGTAGGTGTTTCATGACCATACCAGACTTTTTGGCGTCCTGGAACGAAGTCAGGGATAATTCAGGTTTTCCCGCATTTATGAAATACATCATCTGTGTGTGCAACGGTGTAAATTGTCTAATATGCCTTGAAGACTCCGGCATAGACATGGCTCGCCGCCACATGGCTGCAGTTTCTTCTGAATTGGGCTTCTTTTCCGATTCATTGACCGGGAAGGACGTTGCATCATATCCCAGCACCTGGCGTGATGTGGCAGCGTAGCCATATTTCTGTTCAGTCGCACGGAACATTCGCCATAAGCCAGCGGGGCTGCACTTGGCAGATAGACGCGCTTCCTGGAGAAGTTCCATGAAGTACGGTCGTTCCAGCTTGAGCTTCCAGCGCTTCTCTTTGACAGTTTGTAAAATTTCCTCCACCATTTCCACAGTCCCTTTCTGTATAAAGGCTTTGATGATTTGATCGAAAAGCAGTTTATCAAGAACCAGTCCATATGTATTGATCGCATCAAAAACAAATTGATAGATCATATCTCCCGAGTTTGCAATCCAAAACTCAAGGAAAACGCGGTGAAACATCTGCGTGAATCTAAATGGATTGTTTGTTGATAGTCCAAGTTCATGCATCCGTGCCAGGGTGGCTTTCACTCCATCCCAATCACAGCTCACTGCCTTGCCGTATGCAATGAGTCCTAGGGTTCGCGTCTTGAGCGGAATATTGTATTCGTCTGTCATAGTTCTAACAAGCATGTCAGCCTTGTCGGCCATTCCAAACTCGACATATGCGCCCAGCAAGGGATCGAAAAGCTTTTCTGTAGGAGAGATTCGACAAGACGCCAAGGTGTCTAGCAATTTCCGAAATTGTGTTTCCATGAGGACGATGCTTCGAGTTCTGCTCCACAGTCCTCCAAGATAAATACCGGACGCGCCACAATCAGTATCATGTCGGATATATTTGTATAGTACAGTTTTAGCCTCAGACAACCGGTGTGAGCTTATCAGGGATTTAAGTACCACCCGCATTAGAACTGGGGTAAGTTCAAACTCTTTGGCGTATTTCAGGTACAAAGTGGCCAGCGATTCAAACCTCCCGTTTTTCCACATTGCCAATAGCATAATCTCCCATATCGTGGGACTGACCTTCTCGTTCGCTTCAAACCAATAGAAGAGCTTTTGTGCGAGGTGGAGCCTGTTCCTGTGCAAACTTGTGTACAAAAGATGGATGGCAATGTCATTTCTCGCTTCCTCGTTGCCTTTACGATTCGAATTCACGTCACGTAGGAACCTTAGAGTAGCTTCGTCTAACAAGTGATGATCGAGAAGTCTCTGGACGGCTAGAGTCGGGTCGCTCAGTGGTAAATTTTGGTATTTTTCTCGAAATTCAGGCGGAACGCTCATGGGATAGGCTAGATCCGTACGGAGGTCTTTACCACTTCTCAATTTCGGTTTATATTTGTTCAAGAAAAATGATGGTTGAAACGGCTCTTGAGCCAAACCTTGAGAACGGCCTAGTGTTGATGAACGAAGGGAGTGGTTTGGCACCGCACTTGGAGATCGACGGGCAGCCTCGAGGGATTCGTTCGATGCCCCAATGCCATCGTCCATGGTTCTTGTGTGGGATTCCGGGGAACCCATATTATCCGCGCCATCCAAGTTCCCATCAGTGCTCTCGGCAAGTTCATGCTTTCGGCGCTCGGCTCTCTTCTTAAATGATGCTAGGCCGAGAAACTCGCCGGCTTCGGCAGCCTCCATCATTTGAGCCACCGTTGCAGCTCCTGCCCCAGCAGTGTAATTTGGACATGACGTCTGGAGACTTCGCTTGGACTCGACAATGCGTTCGGCAAACTGGACTCGGCGGTGGATATCGTAGGTAATAGTACCGACGGCACACAAACCCCCAATGGCACCAATGGTCGATCCAGCTAAAGCTATCTGTCGTAGGACACGTAAAGCATTACGGGACGGAACTCCAGTTCGAGCGGATTGGTGGGGGAACATTGTGAGGAAAGTGGATGTTGGGAGGTTTCTGAACCAGCTCGGTTGGAAAGTCCATCAATTGAAACCCATGGACTGGGTTTCCTGGGCGGGATAGAAGGCGCAATGACGACTTCTGTAGCGGACAATGAGATAAGAGACGTTCTGGGACGAGATAATACTGGCATGGATGAAGAATGGCAGCAATGTCGTGTTGGTGATGAATTTTTTCCGGATCGGTTGATGAAGTTGAAAGATGGCCCCATTGCTTGGCATGTACACGTGATGTGGTAACAATCCACGCTTAGGTTATCACTATAGGTAACTTATAGTTATGTTCTGAACAAGACGGAAGACCTTTCGTGAGCAACATAATTACTATTTGTTATGTACATGTACAAAAGTAATAAATTTAAGAGTTGTATATACAAGTAGTGAAGTATCATAGTGAAAAAGATATGTGCAAGAATCTCGAACTAAAGAAGAATATAAACAGGAAGAAAAGTCGCCTCGTCCACCGCCCCACCAACACCGCGAGATATCCTGGAAGCCACGACAAAAAGCAGCCAATAAATAAAATCAAGCCAGAATTCTAGTTTCTCTAGATACGCAACTGAAACGTAGACCCTTCAAATTCCCGGATTTACAGAACCCGATAAGAAGAGGTGAGAAGGGAGGCATCGGTTCGTGCAGATAGGCTGAAAGGCTACCGGAAAGGGGTGCGCAGTCAGTCGGTAGTATGTATGTACTTCGCGAAATAATATTAGATGACGCGTTTAATCCTGCTCGCTTGTTCCCAGGCTGTCTTGGCCTGGCTCAAGCTTGTTCTCCATATATACTAGCAAAAGAGTCAGTATAACTGTATCAAAACTGAATGTCCGGGCACATAGTGTAACATACCATGAGGTTTAATGAAAAAGGATGCTACCATTGCCAAAGCAATCGTAGCAGATAGGCACATAAATACAGCCTGGGGTAAAGTGCCGACAGTCAAGCTGTAAATCAAGTTGAAGATCGTTGGTGCCACCACGCGCGCAAGCGCATGAAGTAGACCAATCGCACCCAATAACTGGCCAGTCCTGTTAGCAGGGATATGCTTTGTTAACGAGGATGTGAGGGTTGGCGAAGCCATTGCACCCATAGCCGCAATCGCTCCAGAGGCCAGCAACAGCTCACCACTCCGTACGAAGCAGTACCCAAGGTACCCGACCAGGTCGAGTATCGTAGAGATCCTAATTAGGATTATGTCTAGCATATCGGAGCCAGTGTTGACGTGGCTTCTTTGACTGCGTGGACCACGGACGAGGCGAGTTAATGTCGGAAGAACCACAAGGAGTACAACTACTCTAACAGAGCTGGCTATGGACACGAAAATGCTTGCCTCGAAGTTCCCCCAGCCGAACATGTACTCGGAATATATCACGATGATCGACATGGTGCCCATCCCGACACCGAATATCACAGCGTCGATTGATGCAAGGATGATCAGATTGATTCGTACATTTCGAAGGGGAGGTCCATGGAGTGCCGTCGTGGGGCTGGGGAAAAGGATAGAGAGGGGTTTTAAGAGATTCATCGGGTTAAAATCCGCCAGCGACCAGGAAGAAAACCTGTGGAATTTGAAGAGACCTATCCCTTGATTCTTGCGATTGAGCAATTGGCGGGATTTCGATACTGACTCCGGCACAGCGAATACCATAAATAGCATGAAGAACACTAGGCAGCCCAGGACGGAGTAGAACACGATAAGAATATTGCC